TTTCTACAACACCTTTTTGTCAGGTTACAGTTGAAGAGAACAAATAAAATCATGTTACATGCTCTATGGTCTGGTGGAGGGGTGTCTTACTGAACTGGCGCCTAAAGGAACGGTTTTCATTTTGCACAACTGGTATTAAAACTATTGACAACAATGAGGAGAGTCTATATCCTATGTGACAAAGCAGTAACTGGTCATCATGTAGCACCTGAAAGGATTGTTACTATGTCAGAACTTAGAAACAAAAAAACAAAGAAACAGGTTAAAACAATGTTAAAAACTCCACATAGGCTTACAGTGCCCCTCTGTACAGCACGTACAGGAAAGAGGTTGATAAAATAGTTTAATCTTCTTTAACTATAAAAATGTTTTATGTTTCTATGGAGTACAGACAGTATGGGCGTAGGGGGGCTATAGAGGAGGGAACAACACACAGCGTCACATTGGGCTCAGAGGTCAGAAGTCAAAGCTCAAACTGGGTGTTGGGGGTGTTGTCATGGATATAGGAATGGTTCTCTGTCTAGGAGGAAAAGGGGAGAAGAGAGGGATGGTCTTACCACTTGGACTGTTCATGTTTTGGGTTTATTTGTTCATTTTTGTTTTTTTCGGGAACCACAGAGCATGCATGGAATGGTGTGAGCTAGCAGAGGTGGCTCATTCTGGGGGAATGGACAGGATAACGAGCCTTAGCATAGCATAGCTGATGGCAGACTGCAGTTCCCCAGTGATTCTAAGGATGTGAACTACAGGAGAGGTCAATGTTCATAAAAAACACAGCATTTTACCAGGACACCTTGCAGTGTGGCAGGGTTGGGGAGAGGGCCGTAAAACTCCTTCAAACTGAAGGAAATTCAGTCCTCCATGCTGCCTGGTACAAGTTAAACTAATCTGACAGGGTCAGATTTTTGTGCAACCTTTAAACCATGTTTTATATGTTGTTGTTTTTTTAAGATTCAATGGAGGATATAAACCCTGTACAAAGCACATGTGAGAGAGACTGCAATTAATTGCTTTGTTTAGGTTTTTGTACACACAATAACGACTGTCCACACATACAGCATTACAACAATGTTAGGCAGAGGTTTCTTTTACCCAGTACAAAACCAGAAGGTATGCATTAATATATCTGTTTTACAATTTGCTTGTTGGTCTATGTGTTGGTCTATGTAAGCAAGAGGTATATGGAATCTATAAATTAAATGTAGGGGTTCAAGGGTATGGCTATAAGTTCTCGCTGTGTCACAGCCCTGTTACCATGGGATACGGTGATGGCCTCACTTACTAAACCAAGGTCAAAGTTCAGAGTTCATTCATGACATCATCTATACTGAACAAAAATCTAAATGCAACATGCAACAATTTCAACGATTTACTGAGTTACAGTTCATATAAGGAAATTAGTCAATTTAAATCAATTCATTAGGTCCTTCTCTATGAATTTCACATGACTGGGAATACAGATACGCATTTGTTGGTCACAGATACCTTCAAAAAAAGGTAGGAGCGTGGATCAGAAAACCAGTCAGTATCTGGTGTGACCACCATTTGCCTCATGCAGCGCGACACATCTCCTTCGCAAAGAGTTGAACAGGCTGTTGATTGTGGCCTTTGAATGTTGTCCCACTCCTCTTCAATGGCTGTGCGAAGTTGCTGGATATTGGCGGGAACTGGAACACTCTGTTGTACACGTTGATCCAGAGCATCCCAAACATGCTCAATGGGTGACATGTCTGGTGAGTATGCAGGCCATGGAAGAACTGGGACATATTCAGCTTCCAGAAATTGTGTACAGATCTTTGCGACATGGGCTGTGCATTGTCATGCTGAAACATGAGGTGATGGCGGCGGATGAATGGCACAACAATGGGCCTCAGGATCTTGTCACGGTATCTCTGTGCATTCAAATTGCCATCGATAAAATGCAATTGTGTTCGTTGTCCGTAGCTTATGCCTTCCCATACCATAACCCCACCGCCCCCATGGGGCACAATGTTTACAATGTTGACATCAGCAAACCGCTCGCCCACAAGACGCCATACAAGTGGGCTGCGGTTGTGAGGCCAGTTGGACGTACTGCCAAATTCTCTAAAACGATGTTGGAGGCGGCTTATCATAGAGAAATTAACATTAAATTCTCTGGCAACAGCTCTGGTGGACATTCCTGCATTCAGCATGCCAATTGCACGCTCCCTCAAAACTTGAAACATCTGTGGAATTGTGTGGTGTGACAACATTTTAGAGTGGCCTTTTATTGCCCCCAGCACAAGGTGCACCTGTGTAATCATCATGCTGTTTAATCAGCTTCTTAATATGCCACACTTGTCAGGTGGATGGTTTATCATGGCAAATGAGAAATGCTCACTAACAGGGATGTAAACAAATTTGTGCACACATTTTTAGAGAAATAAGCTTTTTGTGCATATGCAACATTTCTGGGAACTTTTATTTCAGCTCATGAAACATGGGACCAACACTTTACATGTTGCATTTATATTTTTGTTCAGTGTAGTAATAGAAGCACAATAATATACACACCCTGTTTGGTTCTGGGGTGACATGATTTCTATACTAGATGTGTGTGTGTGTGTGTTACTTTTTTATAGTAAGCCTGGATTTACTCTTACATCATGAATCTGTTGTTATGCAGATGTTCTTAATCCCCTTATACGTATCAAAAAGTCAGGAGGAGGAGAACTAGATGAAAACTGGTTCTGTATATTATAGGTCTATAGTCTTCGATTGAATACTTAAATTGCCATCTCTCTGATTGGTGTATAGACCTCTTCCTGCTGTTCATTTGGCTCTGGGAAGCAGGTTCTCTATACAGCAGACACTTCCTCTGCTAGACTAGGAACTGGCCCCTGTGGGATTTGTAGTTATATGGTTTGTAGTTTTAGTGAGTGGCTGTTTTCAGCAGGGGTGCAACTTTGGTTTTAGAAGTGGGAGGAACATTATTATTATTTTTAATTTTTTATCCTGTCGGATAAACACCCAAAACGGGGGGGGGGGGGGGGGGGGGACAAAAATGCAATTTCAGAATGAGGGAAGGACATGTCCCCCCCGTCCCCAGTGAAAGTTGCGCCCCTGGTTTTCAGTGCTGGGTTAGAGTACAGACATAGATGGCACCACTGAGAAAATAGCGTGTGTGTGTGTTCTGACCGGTTGATAGGAGAGATGTTAGGCAGAGAGAGTATAGCCTGAGATAATGATCTGTACAAATGAGGACCCTCTAGAGTTTACAGGCCTCATGCCTTATCTAAATATTAACCCCCAAATATACTACATTGGTGTTTGAGACAATGACCAATCGTGGGGTTGGACAGACAGACAGACTGACAGACAGATTGACGTCACACAGACAGACTGGTCCTTAAACATGTGTTGCATCCCGTTTTTAACACAGGACTGCGCAGACAGTCAGGTATCAGATATCACAAAGCATGGAGTGTGTTTAACATCTCACCAATCTCATCATATGCACAGCTCGACTGTGAGGGAGGGGTGTGCCCTTCGCTACAGCTGTGTGATTGACAGCTCCATAGAGTGGGAGGCACACACAGCCCTAAACATCCAATCAGCTTTCACCTCTCATCAGGAAGTCAAATGAAGGGGTGGAGCTAGATGAAATAGACCACCGAAAGCCAGCAGATATGATTGGAAATAAACCCCCAAAACTAGTTTCACCCATCACAAACTAAAGAAATTGACTTTAAGCGAGAGATTCCTAGCATATTCTGGCTCTCCTGGATCCAAACCTTGAAGAAGTGTCTGTGGCCTGTGGCCTCCTGTCTGTCCCTGTCTGTCTCTGTTCTGGCTGTGCAGGGCCCCCAGTCCGTCTATAGTCTCCCAATACAGCTGAGCACAGTCCCCCAGTATAGTGGCAAAACATCCAAGTCCAGGAGCTCACTGCTCAGTAGCAGTGTGGATCGTCCCAGTACCAGAGACTAGTTGATCAGTGTGGCTGGCTGATGTACACTCCCAGTTCAGATGACTGACATCCCAGTTTATGTGCTTAGATCTCCCAGCAGGATCCCAGTAGAATTTACCAGTCTTTCAGTTCCTCTGGGGTGTAACTTCCAGTATGATAAACCAGTGTTCCCAGTGTGTCCATGGGACTGGTGCCATTGGTCAGTCAGGTGGATCTTTGGTTGTGGAATAGATAAGAGTTGGGATTGGGATTATGATTGTTGGGAATGTTTGTATGTTTGTCTTTAGTCTTTCAGATAATCTAGAATTCTCCAATAATCTGCTCTGCAGTTTTCCTAAAGGGTGAAAAATATTTGGAAGGTTTTCTGAAAAAGGGGTAAATTGAGTCTCTCTCAAGCAATATTTTCATTTTTTTTGTACAAAACGATACAGAGAGAAATAAACAAAAACATCAACAATGAAATGAACCTAGCAGATCAAGCGTACACACACACAGGGCCAGAACATGAGCCAAAACACATGGGAGAGGATTTAATCCTTCAGGTATCCTCTGATTGGCTGGCAACACACTGGGGTCAGGGGTCAGGGGTAGATATAAATCAGGGCCTGAGGGTCTGAGTGCAGTCTGGGCAGGGGTGTGTGTGTGTGTGTGTGTGTGTGTGTGTGTGTGTGTGTGTGTGTGTGCTCTTACCCCCCTCCCCCCTTTCCCACTCCTGGGCTCCCTGGGGCTCAGACTGAAGCAGGGTCAGGGATTAAAGGTCAGAGTTCACGGTCAGAGTTCACGATCGTTCAGCGGCTCTGTTTGGCTGTTCCAAAGCAATAGTCCTGCCCAGTTGGGCGTGTCCGTCCTATTACCCCCAAGCTTAGCCAAGCTCGATATGCACATAGAATGATAAAGGAAAAGACGGAAGAAGGGAGGGATGGATAAGGGTTTCCTGTCCATGATAAGGCCAGTCTAGTCAGGGCTGGAGGAGAGGTTGGTGGGGGCAGTAAGGGTCAGTATTGAGCGTCAGTAAGGATCAGTGTTGAGGATCAGTAAGGGTCAGTGTTGAGGGTCAGTAAGGGTCAGTAGGTCAGACCAGGGTTCCAGGTTTGGCCTTGTCGTGTCCGTACCACTGGACATCTGCCAGCTCTGAACACAGAGGACTGCTGAGAAAACAACTATCATTGAATGACCTGCAGAGAGAGAGAGAGAGAGAGAGAGAGAGAGAGAGAGAGAGAGAGAGAGAGAGAGAGAGAGAGAGAGAGAGAGAGAGAGAGAGAGAGAGAGAGAGAGAGAGAGAGAGAGAGAAAATTCCATTTTTAATTATGGAAATACAGAAGTTATTGTTTTCTTCGCTTAGTAAAACTGTTGGGCACTTCTTCGTCGAGGGGAGATCTGAAACAAGGACTCTAACTCACCCTTATGATCAATGAACTTGATTGGTTTGTGTCGTTTTGGTCTCATTGCTTTGATGGTTACTTTCTTTGTCTAGACCTAAAGCTTTTGTGAAAACGACGTGCACAATCCATAAGGCCTTTACCTCTTTTCAGGCCTCATTTCAAACTGATCAATCACTCCTCCTATATCGCTGTCTCTATGGCAACTCACATGTCCTGTTAGTGTCCTAGTCTAAAACTACAGTAGGTGACTAGAGTGCATTTCTGTTTCTCCGCATTTCTGTTTCTCTACCTGCAGTGTCCATTCGTTCACTCCCCTTCATGGTTTTAGAATGAATGAACTGGTATTATGGTGGATACTGAGAGCACACGCCAGGGAGAAGTCAACAGTGAGAAACGCTATTGAGTTGACCAAGTTCAATCAGAGCTGGTAATAGAGTAAAGTAGTGAGGGTTAGGATTTACTGTAGTAATAATAATAATAATAATACATTAGATTTGTAAAGTGCTTTTAATTCTAAAAGAATAATCTCAAATTGCATAAAATAAAAGTTAAAATATATTTTAAAAATTACCAAAGCAAATCTATATATAACCATATCATAAAAGCAACAATCAAAGTCTAGGAGGAAGGGTAGGCCAGCCAATAAAGATGAGTCTTAAGGCCTGCTTTAGAGAGCAGCCACAAACAGTATCAGCCACACACAGCAGACATGCAGAGTCCAGTTACAGCCATAGAAACAGAGCAGATAGAACAGACACCATTCCCAAACCTGCTATTAGAACCGATTAGAAACGGGAAGAGCCTATTCAACTCAGCAGTTGGTACGAGACTAAGAATCTACACCTTTGATCTAGTTCAGGTTCTGTTTCTACATATCTAGTCATATCTATTTCTATGCCCCTGATCTATTTCAGTTTCTGTTTCTATGTCTCTGGTCTAGGTGTCAGGATTTATTCTATAGAGTGTGTTTCTATGTCCTGGAAGTCTAGTAGTGTCCAGACAGACAGTATGGGTTGTTTCTATGGTCTATGGTTCTAGATTGATGTTCTGTAGTTCTCTGGTATATTTGTTGTGTTTCTAGGTCTGTGTTCTGGGAGAGTCCTGGCAGACAGACAGTACCTCTATGCATCAGAGCTGGGCTGAGGGGGAGACTGACACACGTCTTCAGTAGGAGAGCTGTCTGCTGTACCGCTAAACCAGGAAACACACACAGACAGACAGACAGCAGAGAGGTTAGTACAGGAGGAGAAGGAGTGAGAGGGAGAAAGGGAGAGAGATGAAGAGGGATGGAATGAGAAGGAAAAATAGAGAAGAGTGAAAGAGTGAAAGAGAGGACAGATAAGTTAACAAATCACTCTGGCGTAATTAGTGTGAGGGTGAGAGTTAGAACAAAGTCAAGTTCAAGTCCTTCAGGAAGACAAGACAGCCGTGTGATCAGTAGCTAGACAGAGTCCCGTGCTGCAGAAGGACAAAAGTTGGGTGTAGGTTGGGGGTTGGTAAGGCAGAGGTTATAGAGGTTGTAAAGAGAAGCGTATGCTGAAGATGCTTTGAGAGGATGCAGATTCTGTCCTGTGAATTGCAATACAGGAACCAGAGACTTTAACCTTTACCCTTTAACCCAGGGTTAAATGTCAAATAGGATTAGGATCCTGAGTGCCTGGTCATTATCCCCAAACACGTTATATTTATCTCTGTGTGTGCATGTGTGTGTGTGTGTGTGCAGTTTGTCTGTGTGTGTGTCGTGTGCGTGTGTGTCTTACCCGCTCTGCCAGTTGAGGATGTGTTGTGGGCTGCAGGGGGGCGTGGGTGTGGCGGCCTGTTCACTGGAGGGAGTCACACTACTCGGGCTGTGAGGGGACGCTGCTGTACAGAGAGACACACAGTTATATACACAGTTATGTTACACACAAACACACACACACACACACACACACACACACACACACACACACACACACAGGTCAATAGGTGGTTAAGGCCTGTGTTATCCCAGCTATGCCCCAGATAAAAGTGGAGGTGTGGCCACTGTGACTAACGAGCTCCATTTGGTTCAGGGATCGCTTTACACTCATTCACACACACTCTCCTAAACATCGGCCAATCGCCCCTACACAAAGGTCTCGTTGACGCAGTAGGCAGTGAGTTAGTCTCATAATCTGAAGGTTGTGAGTTCGAGACTCACGCGGGCCATGGAATGTTCTTTCATTTACATTTTCATGAACTAACTATTCTGTAAAGAATATACAGTACCAGTCAAAAGTTTGGACACACCTACTCATTCAAGGGTTTTTCCATATTTTTACTATTTTCTACATTGTAGAATAATAGTGAACACATCAAAACTATGAAATAACACATATGGAATCATGTAGTAATCAAAGTGTTAAACAAATCAAAATAATTTTTATATTTGAGATTCTTCAAAGTAGCCACCCTTTGCCTTGATGACAGCTTTGCACACTCTTGCCATTCTCTCAACCAGCTTCACGCGGAATGCTTTTCCAACAGTCTTGAAGGAGTTCCCACATATGCTGAGCATTTGTTGGCCGCTCTTCCTTCACTCTGCGGTCAAACCCATCCCAAACCATCTCAATTTGGTTGAGATCGGGTGATTGTGGAGGCCAGGTCATCTGATGCAGCACTTCATCACTCTCCTTGGTCAAATAGCCCTTACACAGCCTGGAGGTGAGTTTTGGGTCATTGTCCTGTTGAAAAACAAATTATAGTCCCACAAAGCGCAAACCAGATGGGATGGCGTATTGCTGCAGAATGCTGTGGTAGCCATGCTGGTTAAGTGTGCCTTGAATTCTAAATAAATCACTGACAGTGTCACCAGCAAAGCACCCCCACACCATCACACCTCCTCCTCTATTCTTCACGGTGGGAACCACAAATGCGGAGATCATCCATTCACCTACTCTGCGTCTCACAAAGACACGGCGGTTGGAACCAAAATTCTCAAATTTGGACTCATCAGACCAAAGGACAGATTTCCACTGGTCTAACGTCCATTGTCGTGGGTCTAACGTCCATTGTCGTGTTTCTTGGCCCAAGCAAGTCTCTTTATATTATTGGTGTCCTTGAGTAGTGGTTTCTTAGCAGCAATTCAACCATGAAGGCCTGATTCATGGAGTCACCTCTGAACAGTTGATGTTGAGATGTGTCTGTTACTTGAACTCTGTGAAACATCTATTTGGGCTGCAATCTGAGGTGCAGTTAACTCTACTGAACTTCTCCTCTGCAGCAGAGGTAACTCTGGGTCTTCCTTTCCTGTGATGGTCCTCATGAGAGCCAGTTTCATCATAGCGCTTGATGGTTTTTGCGACTGCACTTGAAGAATTTTTCAAAGTTCTTGAAATTTTCCAGATTGACTGATCTTCATGGACTGTCATTTCTCTTTGCTTATTTGAGCTGTTCTTGCCATAATATGGACTTGGTCTTTTACCAAATAGGGCTATCTTCTGTATACCACCCCTACCTTGTCACAACACAACTGATTGGCTCAAACACATTAAGAAGGAAAGAAATTCCACAAATTAACTTTTAACAAGGCACACCTGTTAATTGAAATGCATTCCAGGTGACTACCTAATGAAGCTGGTTGAGAGAATGCCAAGAGTGTGCAAAGCTGTCATCAAGGCAAAGGGTGGCTACCCTGGAATGAGTAGGTGTGTCCAAACTTTTGACTGTTACTGTATACATTTTTTATCTAACCTTAACACTGCCTGACCCAATCAAAACTCTAACTATCTTACCAAATTCAAGCTTAGCTTAGAACATAAACGTGTCTACGTGTGTGTGTTGTCACCCACCTGGTGATCTCTTGGCGAGCGTCCCCACCCTGCTCCCTCGTCCAGGTCCCAGCGTGCCTTGCAGCGAGCCACTGTCCGACGTGTTGGAGCCGGAGTGACTCCTCTCCTTTACACTGCCCGAAGAGCGCTGGTACCAACACCTCAACTCGTCCGACACCACCGCCCTCCCCCCTCCTCCCCCCTCTCGCCCCAGTGAGGGAGTCCGTACAATCTGGGAGCGGGACGGGGTGAGTCTGCCGCTCCCCTCTCCCCCCTCCTCGCCCCCCCAGGTCTCCTTGTAGAGGCCCCCGGCTGTGTAGGAGCTGGAGGTTTTGAACTGGGCCTTGACGCTGTAGTGGCCCTCCTGGTCACTCTCCAGGCTGCGCACCACCACTGGGTTGGGGCTGCCCTCTACGTACAGGGGGTACTCTTTAATCCTGTACTGGGATGAGGGTTGGCTCTGGCTGTGGAGGTACACCCCGTGGTGCCCTGACCCAGTCCCTGCTCCCCCTGTACCACCGCACCCTGAACCGTTCTTGGCTGCCAGGTTGGGCATGGAGCCAGAGTTAGAGGAACCAAGGTGACCTGCAGACCTGGAGAGAGAGAGAGAGGAGGTTAACATACACATTAAACATAGAAAGAAATCCTCCAAGGATTGCTAAACAAGCCCAAAGTAAGTCTGTGGACACACCCAGCTCTGCTGCACTAACCTGTGCCTCTGTCTCTGTCTCTGTCTGGCTTTGGAGGGGGAGTCCTCTCCTAAGGTGGAGTAGTTTGGGTTGGAGCCTGGGGCTCCCCCAGGGTAGTAGTGTTCTGAGCTGCTCTGGGAGGTACAGGACGAACAGTCGTCCAGCGGGTCCGAGCCGTTGGAGCTGCGTGTACCCGGGACCAGGAAGATGTCTGGGCTGCCCAGGGCTCCCAGGGTGTGTGTGTGAGTGTGTGTGTCGGGGTCGGAGGCCAGCAGCTTGCCCTGAGATTCCAGGCTGGAGCTGCGGTTCCTAAAGTGCTGAACCAGACTGTGCAGATGGGTGGGACTGATGTCCACAGACCTGGTGGAGGGAGAGAGATGGAGAGAGGGAGGGCGAGAGATGGAGAGAGGAAGGGAGAGATGGAGAGAGAGGTTACAGTATGGTTGTGGCTTTGACCTAGTGAGGTGACCGTAGTGCGGTAGTTTTCTGAAGTTTATTTCGAGGTTATCTTGTGGTTACCTGGTTGAGTGTACGTAGTGAGGGGTCCTGGTCCTCAGGTCGGGGGTGGAGGGCATGCTAGATTGGGAGCTCCAGTGAGGAACACTCCTGATGGGGCTACTCTGCAGAGAGTTACTGCCTCCTGCCTCCGCACAACTACCAGAGCCGGGAAACCGCCTGTGACTGGCCAGGGAGAGACAGAGCACTTAGAAAACCTTAACATTACTATTGCTATCTTCTAATCATTATACTATCATTCAACAAACTATCACATGCCCCACGACCCCAGTATAGATCTATCGTCATGGAAACAGAGTTGACCTCACCTGGAGTGTGAGGAGCGTTTCTTGACCCTCTCATAGGGTTCGTCCAGCGAGGACTCACTCCACATCTTGGGTTTGATGGGGGACTTGTCGTATTCGGAGCGGGAGTAGTGCAGGTGGCTGAGGCCATCTAGAGACTGGGGGGGAGGGGGCCGGCTGTGAGAGGGAGGCCGGGGAGGTAGGCCCTTATGGGGAGACGCTGCCGGAGAGTAGGTGGGGGTCCCTGTCACCTGGGGGTCATCTGATAGAGAGAGAGAAGGTCATAGGGATTGGTTAGATTGATTGATCACTGATTATTCCCAATTAGAAAGGCACTGATGAACTTTCTGATTTATTCTAGTGCAAGAGAGAGTGAGAGATAGAGGCAGACATACCGTCGTCTAGGACCAGAGCATCAGACAGAGAGCTGTCCTCTGAGCCGATGTTGGCCTCTGTGGGAGAGAAGAACAGAGTAAAACACTTTTACTATGGCACTGGTTGGGGTGAAGTAGGTGTGCTTCAATTCATGTTCATGAGCACTTCTTGCCATGTGTCTTTGTGTGTATGTGAGTGTGCGTGTGTGTGTGTGAATGTGAATTTGTGATTGTGTGTGTGCCTGGTCTCACCCTCTTTATTACGCGATGTGGTTCTTATAAGCGATTCTCTCAGCATGTGTGTAGTCTCACCCTCTATGATAAGCGAAGCGCGTTGCGTGGGTTTCTTCCCAGAGCGGACACGGTGTTCGTTGATGGCGTTCTCTATCTCCTGGAGTTTCTTCAGCGCGTTCAGGTACGACGTCTTCCTCTGTTTTTTCAGCTTCTTACTGCTCACGTGCGGATCACTGGCCAGACGCCTTGCAGCCTCCGTGATCTGGGATTGGATGGCAAACTCCCTCTCTAGACGTTCTAGCTCCTCCTCCTGTTGAGAGAGAGATAGACACAAAGGTTAGGAAGTGTGACACATGCACACACAAACAAACACACTCACACACAAGTGATGACACACACGCACACACACTCAGACACACATACTCAGACATGAGTCACTCACATCCACCAGTAACTTAAAGCATGTTCCCAGGCCAGCACAAACACAATGAGGAAACCATCTATCTTCATTCCTCCCCCACATTTTCCCAGCCCTGCCTCTCCTCCCATGAGAATCCCTAAAACACCCCCAGCTCCCCCTAACACTCCCCCCTCACCTCCACCCCATCCCCCAGCCTTGGCTAGCTTCCTCCGAGACCCCCGTTCTCCCCAAAACACCCCCGACTTTCCCTATCCCTTACCTCATCTCCACCCCCTCACTTCCCTCCTCCTCACCGTCTCCTATGAGACCCCATGTTCGCCCTACAACACCCCCCAACTCCCCCTAACCATAACACACAGCCCCCTAACCATAACACACAGCCCCTAACCATAACCAACAGCCCCCTAACCATAACCAACATCCCCCTAACCATAACACCTAGCCCCCTAACCATAACCAATATCCCCCTAACCATAACACCTAGCCCCCTAACCATAACCAACATCCCCCTAACCATAACACCTAGCCCCCTAACCATAACCAGCATCCCCCTAACCATAACACCTAGCCCCCTAACCATAACCAACAACTCAATAACAGCAGAGAGCAGATCATGACCCAACAGCAACAGTATTTCATCTCATGAGGACCATTAGGACTTAGTGTTTCTGTACGTTCTACAGGGACTAGTGAGGCAAGACTAGTTAACAGACAGAAAACAGAGACTATTTCAGACAGACAGCTTTTCAACTCGCTCTCACACGGCTCTACACATGGACGCATACAAGCACACACATGCCTGTGCATGTATGCATCCATGTGTGGGTGACCTTATGTTCAGGGCAGGGGTTCAGAAAAACAGAACAGAACCGTAAATGTGTTCACAGCTCACAGAGATAGAGAGGTAAAGCCAGTAGACTTGTTTCACACACACGCAGGTCAACATCCCCCAAGACTACCTCAGCCTGGAGGAATCCCTCTCACTAACAATCTCTACATCCTCCTGCCAAAATAACTGTGTGTGTGTGTGTGTTCTGAGGTAACAAGGTTAGAAAAGTTTAAAACCTGAGACATCTTTCTGCAAGCCTCGCGGTTTCATAATGCTGTGACCCTGGATTCGTTTCAATGCATACAATCCAAGACACACGCACGCACACACACAAATATACACACACACACTCTTTCTTTCTCTCTCTCCCACTATCACCACTTCCTGCGGTACGGAACAGACAAGCTATTTTTAGTCAACCCTGAAGCAGTGGAAAATCTACTAAGGCACAAATAGAAGAACAGACAGAAAGATTCAGAAATAGAAGAAGAGAATAATAGAGAGAAAGAGGGATTGAGGATGACTGCAAACCAACTTCTAAGCAGATCCAAGACTTCTCGAAGTGCTGGCTTGGCCACTGCCCCAATTACTCTTCTGCTTCAACCAATGATCTAAGATCAGTTCTCCATCCCAAGTCTAACCATTTCCTGGTTGCTAAAATTCAAATAGTTCACCTAATTTCAGTTTATGTGACAAAACAAGCAAGTATAGTGTAGAGAATCAATGTACCATCTAAACCGCTGTGAAGTATATATTCTATAACCAAAAATATTGTATTTTTTTTGGGGGGGGGGGGGGGGGGGGGGGGGGGTAGATCAGCTTTAATATTGCAGATAGATTGTAACTTCCATCAATGTAATCGTCTGCATCACTTCCAATCTCCCATTTTTTATTTTTTCTGCCGTTCAAAAGTTTGGGGTCACTTAGAAATGTCCTTGTTTTCCATGAAAACATACATGAAATGAGTTTGAATACGAAATATAGCAAAATGAATAGGAAATGTAGTCATTGACAAGGTTAGAAATAATAATTGTGTCTTTCAAACTTTGCTTTCGTCAAAGAATCCTCCATTTGCAGCAATTACATCCTTGCAGACCTTTGGCATTCTAGTTGTCAATTTGTTGAGGTAATCTGAAGAGATTTCACCCCATGGTTCCTGAAGCACCTCCCACAAGTTGGATTGGCTTGAAGGGCACTTCTTACGTACCATACGGTCAAGCTGCTCCCACAACAGCTCAATAGGGTTGAGATCCGGTGACCGTGCTGGCCACTCCATTATAGACAGAATACCAGCTGACTGCTTCTTCCCTAAATAGTTATTGCATTGTTTGGAGCTGTGCTTGGGTCATTGTCCTGTTTTAGGAGGAAATGGGCTCCAATCAAGCGCCGTCCACAGGGTATGGCATGGCGTTGCAAAATGGAGTGTTATCCTTCCTTCTTCCAGATCCCGTTTACCCTGTACAAATCTCCCACTTTACCACCACCAAAGCACCCCCAGACCATCACATTGCCTCCACCACGCTTGACAGATGGCATCAAGCACTCCTCCAGCATCTTTTCATTTGGTCTGCGTCTCAAATGACAAATGTTCTTCTTTGTGATTCGAACACCTCAAACTTCGATCCGTCTGTCCATAATACTTTTTTCCAATCTTCCTCTGTCCAGTGTTCTTTTGCCCATCTTAATCTTTTATTTTTATTGGCCAGTCTGAAATATGGCTATGCCTGGAAGGTCAGCATCCCGGAGTCGCCTCTTCACTGCTGAGGTTGAGACTGGTGTTTTGCGGGTACTATTTAATGAAGCTGCCAGTTGAGGACCTGTGAGGATCTGTTTCTCAAACTAGACACTCTAATGTATTTGTCCTCTTGCTCAGTTGTGCACTGGGGCCTCCCACTCCTCTTTCTATTCTCAAGAAGGTCCGTTTTATTGCTTCTTTAATCAGCACAACAGTTTTCAGCTGTGCTAACATAATTGCAAAAGGGTTTTCTAATGATCAATTAGCCTTTTAAAATTATAAACTTGGATTAGCAAACACAATGTGCCATTGGAACACAGGACTGATGGTTGCTGATGATGGGCCTCTGTACGCCTATGTAGATATTCCATAAAAAATCAGCCGTTTCCAGCTACAATAGCCATTTACAACATTAACAATGTCTACACTATATTTCTGTTCAATTTGATGTTATTTTAATGGACAATTTTTTTTAGAAATTGTGGTTGCCACTGGGATGGCACGGTCCAAGGAGTAGGGAAGTGTGGCTAAGATGCAGAAGGTACATCTTTCTCCAAAATGCAATCTCTCCCGACATTTCGTGCACATTTATCATTGTGTGAATTGTTAGTGTCTATCAATTCCCTTTACATATCACCATTAGTACATTTACTGTTAATTCCCATAATTTATAATCTACAATGCTTGTTTGGTTATGGTAATTTCTGTTAATGCATTCAATATATTATTATTACAGTCATTTACCGTTCTCATTGTTGGAGTGGACACGTTGTTTGCAGAGCTCACAACCTATGCTACACTTGTGAGAAACAAGTTTGGGTTTATTTAATTCCCTTTATGAGTTTTGTCAATGTTTTCATTGTCTTTTGTTTGGAGCGCTCCTGTCAATGTTGAGTAAGGACGCGCACCTGATTACGCATATAAAAGTAGACCTAGGCTACCTGACCTGCGCGCAAATGTAGGCCTATAAATGTTCCCATTTGGGGATGTATGATAACATTTCTGATTGTCTTAACACCACCACTAACTGTGCTCTTTCACAAAAGTTCACAACCTATAACCTATATACTTATTATGGACACAGTATGCCTTACATTATTAGTTATCTTGTTGTTATTAGTTGTTGTTAGTTGTTATTAGTCCCACCCTTCAGCTCCATTCAACACCTCCCATCTATCTCTTAACACCATCCATATTGGATTTCTATTTGACATATATTTTCAACTGTACTGTGATGTTTCACAAAAGTTCTGAACCCTTCTATTCTCAATGTTTCTACAGATATTTGTTTTTGCTAAAAGTATTATTATATTATTGATCGATTGACTATGACTTTTCAGATCACCCAGTAGTGCTATCTGCAGGGTTAGCTCAAGGTAAATATTGCAATCCTTCAGCCATTCCTGGACCTGTGACCAAAAACAAGCTACAAATGGACAGTACCAAAACAAATTATCTAATGATTCTGTCTCTTCGCAGCAAAATCTGCAGAGCTGGGAAGATTGTATCCCCCATATAAATAACATTCTATTGGTATCAAGAATTTTGTATAATAATTGAAACTGAAAAATTCTAAGTTTTGAATCCGGCGTCGTTTTGCGTATCAGTTCATAAACACTATGCCATGGAATCGGTACGTCAAAAATCTCTATCCTTTGGTCCTTAAATGAAACTGGTATACATTTTTATTAATCACAATTTTCTTTAACCAATTATGTTATTTAATGTAGGGCCGACAGACAAGTTCCTTACTTTTTCCCCCTTCCACTTTCCTTTTCCATTTTTGCGGTAATGATGCAATTATTTGGTTGTTATTTTGGGTAGAGCAGACATTTCCATATGCTTTTGTTAGCTGCATGTGTGACATAACTCCACCAGTCCTACCTATTATATTATTTGCGAAGATTATACCTTTTATTTTTTTATTTAAAAAAATAAAGTTATTTTTATCAATTAGTATATTTGAGTTTAACCACAATATTTGTTGCATTATTTGTTCTGTCGTTTCTGGAGGATTAAATTGAAATTTCAACCAACTTTCAATGGCTTGTTTTAGAAATAGTGATATTTGGGAAATTATTTCCTTTTCAAATAACTGAAAGTGAGAGGTTGTAATCTGAATAAAGGGAAAAAGGCCATTCTTGAACATGGGGTGAGACAATCTTACTAATTTGCAAGATAACCAGTTCGGATTTAAGTATAACTTTTGTATGACTGAAGCTTTTAGTGATAGGTCTAATGCTTTAATATTGAATAATTTCTGTCCTCCGAATTCATATTAATTATACAAATAGGCTTGCCGTTCCAAAGAAAATGGAATAATTTATTCTCATATAATTTAAAAAACTGTTCGCTAGACTATAAGCAAATAGGTAAACTTGGATAATACTAAAGAGTTAATCAGGGTGATTTTTCCACAAATAGACAGGTATTTACCTTTCCATGGTAGCAAGATCTTATCTATTTTTGCTAACTTTCTATTAAAATTGATTGGGAGTGAGATCATTTATTTCATTTGGGATATGTATTCCGAGTATATCCACATCACCATCAGATCATTTTATTGGTAAACTACATGGTAATGTAAAAATTGTATTTTTTAGTGATCCAATACGTAATATAGTACATTTATCATAATTTGGTTGTAATCCACAGAGGTTAGAAAATGTATCTAGATCCTCTATGAGGCTGTGGAGGGATTCAAGTTGTGGATTTAAAATAAAACATGAATCATCAGCGTACAATGACAACTTTGTTTTTAAGCCCTGGATTTCTAATCCCTTGATATTATTGTTGGATCTGATTTTAATAGCTAACATTTCGATGGCCATAAAAAATAGATATGCCGATAGTGGACAACCTTGTTTTACTCCTCTTTACAGTTTAAAACTTTCTGAGAAAAAGTCATTTACTATTTTACACCTAGGGTTACTATACATGATTTTAACCCATTTTATAAGAGATTCTCCAAAATTGAAATGCTCCAGGCATTTATATATAAACTCCAGTCGTACTTTATCAAATGAATTTTCAAAGTCTGCTATGAATAGCAGGCCTGGTTTCCCAGATTTTTCATAGTGTTCTTTTGTTTCCAGTACTTGCCTTATATTATCTCCAATGTATCGCCCAAGTAAAAAAACCTGTCTGATTAGAATGAATACTGTCCGACAATACCTTTTTAATTCTATGCACTATACATTTTGCTAGAATTTTTGCATCACAACACTGAAGTGTAAGGGGCCTCCAATTTTTTTAATGGCCTGGATCTTTATATTTCCCACTTGTATCCTGTTTCAGTAATAATGAAATCAGACCATCTTATTGAGTGTCTGATAATCTACCATTTACATAGGAGTGGTTAAAACATGCTAATAACGGTCCTCTGAGTATATCAAGAAAGGTTTGGTATACCTCGACTGGTATGCCATCCAACCCTGGAGTTTTCCCAGACTCAAAGTATTTAATTGTATCCAGAAGATCCTCCTCTGTAATTCCACCTTCACATGAGTATTTCTGTATGGCTGTTAATTTGACATTATCAATTGAAAAAAATCCCTACAATTAGCTTCAGTTAGAGGAGATGGAGGCGACTGAAACGAAAACATATGCTTAAAGTACTTTGCGTCCTCCTTTAAAATATAATTTGGTGAATCATGGGCGACTCCGTCATTTGTAACCAGTTTCAGTAAATTATTTTTGGTAGCATTTCTATGTTGAAGATTAAAAAATAATTTGGTGCATTTTTCCCCATATTCCATCCGGTTTGCTTTATTTTATTTGCTGTACCTATGTTATGTCGGAAAAAAACAGTTATAAATTCCTCTTTCCTAGTTAAAATCAAGTTATCATCCAATAGGCTTTGATTAATTTTCCAATATCCTAGCCCACGTGGATATTCAGTAAGAGTAATGTATATGCCAATTATATGATGGTCCGACCGCATTTTGTCCCCTATCAACACTTTTGGTGCCAACGAGAATGACATAAGTAAGAAGTCAAGACGACTAGCTTGATTGAGTCTCCGCCATGTATATCTCACTAGGTCAGGATATTTAAGCCTCCGTATATCTACTAGTTCTAATGTATCCATGACATTCATGATTTCCTTAAGAGCATAAGGGTGATAGTTTGTAGTGTGATTTCCTTTACGGTCCATTGAGCTATTTAAAACAGTATTATAATCTCCCACCATAATAATAGAGTATTGTATTGCATGCAGTGTTGATCATTTATTATATATATTGTCAAAGAAGTGTGGATCATAATTATTTGGTCAATAAAGGTTAATGAGCCACATCTGTTTATGGTCCAATAACATATTTAAAATCATCCATCTACCTTGTGGATCTGTTTGGACAATTTGCACATTCGGAACGAAATTACTGTAAAAAAAATAATAAAATAAAATAAAATAAAAGCGGATTGAAGCTGGTGTACAAACAGAAAGTAAAAGATGCAAAAACGAAACTTAAGAACGGAAAGCATAGAAATAGCACACATAGAACAGATCTACCGCTTTTTAGACTTGCTTTCAATGAGAATGACAGATCTATAACTCACATTTCTATGTGAATTTGGTTGGGTCGCCCAAAAAGTTACATATTGCAGTTTTAAATAACTCCATGTTCATGAGGAAGTTTATCTACACTGGGAGCCAAATAGAACTCCTCCCATTTACTAGAACTGAATGGAACCACTGGAAACAGTTGGATCAGATGTGGACAGTTACGGTTTGAGAGATTTCTCTGACCTCTCCTTTAGGCAGGATCTTAAAAGGGTAGTTAGGATTTGAGTGTATTTTCTGACCTCTCCTTTGGGCTGGATCTTGTGTTCGTCCAGTTTGAAGGCGGTGCCAATCTTCCTTCTGACCGTCGGAGGCTCCTCCCCTGGATCCAATGGATACTCCTTAGGCAGCTTCCCTGTCAACTCCTAGAGAGAGGAGAGACGGAGAGAGAGAGAAAGAGAGAGCGAGAGACAGAGAAAGAGAGGGAGAGACAGAGAAAGAGAGGGAGAGAGAGAGAAAGAGAGAGAGAGAGAGAGAGAGAGAGAGAGAGAGAGAAGGAGAGAGAAAAACATTAAATTGATCATTACTCATTGATGTGTGTAAGTATGTGTGTTTGTGCATGCGTGCATGTGTCTTACCGCCTCTCTGATACATATGTTCTTGAGTTCCTCTAGTCTTTGTTTCAGAGTCTCCTCCAGAGCCTCCTGTCTGGCCCTCAGGGCTGCCAGCATGTCTTTCTTAGCTGTCTGAGAACTGTCCGACTCCTGGGAACCTACACACACACACACACACACACACACACACACACACACACACACACACACACACACACACACACACACACACACACACACACACACACACACACACACACACACACACACACAGAGATACAGTCAGAACACACACACAGGTATACAGTCAGAACACACACACAGATAACAGATCCAATTAGAACTTATCACTGAACATGGACCAGAGTGTAGAATACTGTAAGAAACAAGCTTACTATAACCTTACTGTGTAGCACTCAAATACCCCCCCCCCCCAAATACAGCACTTACAACACTGGAGCCCAAACAATGCTATTGTCTGACCCAGGCCTCCAGAGAGAAAGTGAAACAAGGAAATGGTGAAGGACGGAGGAGGGGTGAAGGCACCTGCCGAGTTGAATGCTTCGATAAGGTCTAAGACTGTGTGGTGGGGAGGTTGTGTGTGTCTGAAGGGGATGGGGCAGCCGAGGACACAGTCTATGACGCACAGTCTCCGACCCTGAAGGCCCAACATCGTGACAGCCTCTCCCTCTCCCTCTCAATCAAACACACACACACACGCACACACACACACCCTCGCCGTCGCTGCTCAACTACACACTGACAACAACCATCCTGCAGTTCAACCAACCACAGTTTACCCCTTGATCAAACACTCCATTGTGGACAGCATCCTGGTGTAAATACTGCATTTTATAATAATGATAAACAGCCATACCAAACATTCTATGAACTACAGTATGTTAGAGCAGGGCTGGAGCAACAACCTGTGTTACTGTCCTTGTCTATCAGTGTATCAGTGTTTTGTTACTTTGCTTCTGCAAAAGCTAATGGGGATCTGAATAAACCAAACCAAACCCAGTAGCTCTCCAGGAGGAATGTTAGCCACCCCTGGTCTAGGTTTAGGGGCTAAGATGTGAAGCAGTACTGTCAGACTGCACTCTAGATGGATTAATACAGAATATCTACACTGCCGAAAACTGTAGAGAGAATGTGACGGAGACACATTAAGATAACATCACTACTCATATCAGTGACATCATTCTGTTGCGAGGCAGTGTGTCATTAGATTAACACACACACTGCTCTGTGTGTGTGTGTTCCATGTAGGAATATGTGAGTGAGTGTGTGTATTTGAGATAGTCTCCGTCAGTGGGTGTGTGTTAGAGCAGGGTTAAAAACACTGAATGTAGAGAGCGAGAAGGGGGTATATGGAGATAGCTGAGAGACAGCGAGACACAACGTGAGGGAGAAAGAGAGAGGCAAATACAAAGAGAAATGGGACCGAGAGATAAAGATGGATATCAAACAGGACGTTAGAGAGGACAAAGATGAAGTGTGTTGTGGAGACTACTCCTTCTAAACACAGTCATTGATTTCATAAGGTGTCAGCGGTGTCTGGAAATAGCTGACCCTGCACACACATGCACACACACAGTTGGCAGCATGTGTGTATCGACCTTTGCTCCCTCAATCAAAACTAGTTGAGTTTTTAGTACAAACATTATTTGAGCTTTCGTGTGTCATTCACACTTCCACCATGTTGGTGGAAACAGCCTTTGGAAAACATTAAGCTAACAGCATAATGGGTTTCTGTCCTGAAGTTTAAAGGTTGATTCACAGCCCTGCCCTCTCTAACTCTGTTCCCACAGACCCCTGCCCTGGCCTAGATAGGGGGGTGGAGGGGTGAGTTACCAACTACTCCTCTCACAGATCTCTCTCTAACCACATTACCTCCCTCTGCATAGAGTGGCATTGTTCCAAAGACCAGGACAAAGTTGCCCACCCTCCCTTACATCCCTCTCTTCTCCCCTTACATCCCTCTCTTCCCTCTATCCCCCTGTCCTCTACCACACTAAATTTAGAGGTAGGCGCCTCCACATTATTGGGCAGAGTGAGAGTAGGGCAAGGGTACTGCTGGCCACAGACACACATGCAAACACAGCCACACGCAGAGAGACTTACCTGAGGAGAGCAGACTGCCGGAGCTGCCACTGATTATCTTGCCCTTGCTGCCCATGTTGGCCAGTTTAGATGTCTTCAGAGTTCCAGTCTCTGTCAGGTCGATGGCTATCTCACTGAGACTACGAGCCGCATGGATCTTAGACTGGACAAACATACACACACAGATGGATATATTAGATATTTACCTAATACCCTATTTCTGCTTGTTTCTACTGATATGGTTATGCTATACCACACTCTAGAACGCCACACACATTCTAGAACCCCATACTCATTCTAGAACCTCACGGCCATTCTAAAACCTCACAGTCATTCTATGTGTTACCTTGCTCTGCTTGCGGTCCAGGTAGAACTGGTGTTGGCTGATGGCCATGGCCCAAATAGACTTAATGAGAGCAGGGCAAGCGTACCAGGTGTGGACAGCTATACCACTGTGGCCAAACGTCCTTCTGGTCACCGACGCCCTACAGTAGAGACGGACACAAGGCCTCCTTATACACACTGAATACACACACAACACACACAGTAAATGAAAGAACACGCACACAGGTACACACGCACCCCAATGACCTATAGCATGACCAGATGCAAGGCATCCTTGAACACACTTATTCTAGAAAGAGAAAGTATGTCTAGTGTGATGTTTATCATACCACACGTTGCCTCTCATGACATGATTTACTCTACACTGTTTAGACAGAAAGACATCTGTATCTACAGACCTGCTCACACTAACTACTGCCTCCTATAAAACAGCTCTCTCTCTTCTCTGCCCCTCTCTCTCTCTCCTTTTCTCTCTTCTTTCTCTATCCATCTGTATAGATGTTAAATAAACAAAAGAGAGATGACTTCCTCCTCTAGACAGCAGAGTTCAGTGTGTGTGTGTGTGACTATCAGCAGTTCTATCTGTGCAGGCTCCATTTAAGATCCCCTGAATCTCACTCTAACACCAATATAAACTGAAGCGGATATGCCTCTCTCCCTGTCTGTCTGTGTGTGTGCACAAGCTACTTTGTTCAATCACATGCACCACTGTGTATCTCTTGGTGTCTCTACTACTCTTGAATATATCGTCACCACTAACAACAACAACACCTCTCCAACCCATTACCATCTCTGCTCTGTGTTTGTTAAGTCTGTTAACCTTTACACAAAGCAGCTATCAGCATTAACAATGGGGGACAATAAAGACATTACACATCTCATCTATCCAAGCCTCCCTCATATATTCTACACACTATTTTCACAACGCCAGCAGAAATGGAGTGTCATCAACACAACTAACTAACATTAGCTATGTGTCATATATATTATCGGGGCAGATAGAAAAGGACATTCTCTACTACACTTTACTACTTCTGTGATCCAAAACTGTTTACAGTGCTGAAACACATGCACGCGCACGCACGAATGCAAGCACACACACACACACACACACAGAGAGTTGTGATATAGATTTACCTCCTGGGGTCGTGAACTTCCACTGAGAACTTCTTCTCTCTGAAGTAGAGGTTCTCCAGCTGACGCCATTGGAACACCTGAGGACACACACACACACACACACACACACACACACACACACACACACACATTTTAGAACTGAGAAATGCTCACACACACTTCAAACTGAGATACACACAGACATACACACACAAACCTCAGAACTAAGAAACACACATCACAGGAGGTTGGTGGCTCCTTAATTGGGGAGAACGGGCTCGTGGTAATGGCTGGAGCGGAATCAGTGGAATGTTATAAAATACATCAAACACATGGTTTCCATGTGTTTGGTGCCATTCCATTTAGTCCGTTCCGGCAATTATTATGAGCCGTTCTCCCCTCAGCAGCCTCCTGTGACACACATACACTTCAAGCTTGAGAACGCAGAAACACACATTCCCGCTTGATATGGTTTCCCTGTACTTACTGAGAGTTAAGATTGGTTTTGCAACACCCCAAAAAACAGAAAGAAGAGGAGAGGAGAGAGGGAGGAGAGGAAAGAGGGAGGACCTGAGGTAAGGGTCTCTGATCAGATCCAGACCCAGCGGTCTCGTCCAGAACTCTTCCCCCGGCTGAATGACCTCACCCCCGAGAGAGAGAGGGAGGAGGCTTTCTCTCCTCTGCTCGCCTTCTTTCTCTTCCCTTCTTTTCCGTTCTCTTTACGAACCATCAGCTCCTTTTTAAATAAAGCCAAGCCCCACTGGGCGAGAATGTCTCTTCAATGTGTGTGTGTGTTTGTGTGTATGTGTGTGTGTAAAATCCTCAAAGGCGCAGGGGAACAGAAAGTTCTGAGTGGACGGGTGTTCACCATCTGTAGGCAAGTGAGCGAGTGCATGTGTGTGGGAGAGTGAATGTGCGTGTGAAGTAAAGTTTCCTCCTCTCCTGTAGCCAGGCGAAGACCCTCCCCCCTCCCCCTGACCCCTCCTCTCTCCCTTGGGGAGTACGCTTCCTGCTCTGGGCTCTGTTGCTGGGAGGGAGGGTGTGGGGGAAGGAGGGAGTGAGGGGAGAGGGTGGGGGCTCACTGTGGCCCAATCAAATGGAGAACTTTTGCTTTGTTAAGTCAGCCAGCCCCCCACTTCAGACACACACACAACACACACACACAACACAACACAACACACACAACATAACACACACACACACACACACACACACAGGCTCACGAGGTCTGAGTCTGTTTCTCGTTACAGAGAAAGAGAGCAGTCGCAGCAGTTACTGTTACACTGGAGACACGACTAGCAGCTGGGACACACACACACACACACACACACACACCAACACAAATATAGACACACACACACACACCAACACAAATATAGACACACACACACACACACACACCAACAATGGTGGTGGTAGAAATTTGAAGGCAGAGAGATTGTTTAAGAAACGGTAAAAACACATGAACTCTGTACTAACATTAGAAAACAAAGTTAACTGGCAGGATGAGGGAGGACAGGAGAGAGTGGAGAGGAGGGAGGAAGAGAGGAGAGAGGGAAGAGAAGATGAGGGGGCACAGCCCAGGAATTTTAACAGCCTGGAAAAACAATGTAGAGAGAGGAATAAGAGGAGAGGAGAAGAGGGGGATAAGAGGAGAGGAGAAGAGGGGGATAAGAGGAGAGGAGAAGAGGGGAGAAGAGGAGAGTTTGATGGGGGATAAGGGAGAGGAGAGAGGGGGATAAGAGGAGGGAGAAGGGGGATAAATGGTTTCTCCTCTCTTCTCCTTTTTCAGAGGCGGGGAAGAGGGGGATAATGAGGAGGGGAAGAGGGGGTTCTTTTCTCCGGAAGGCGTGATGGCCGAAAGGGGGATAGAGAGAGGAGAAGGGGGGATAAGAGGAGAGGAGAAGAGGGGGATAAGAGGAGGGGAGAAGAGGGGGATAAGATGGAGCATATAAACACAGCATTTGGACTAAGTGTGTGTATGTGTGTGTGAGAGTGTGCATGCATGTGTGAGAATCAGTGCAGTTATGATCACGCTCGGCGTACTGTACACTCAATGGAGTATGAAGACTTAATGTAGCATGGTGCTAAAAATAGGAGACAGATAGGAGAGTGTGGGTGTATGTTTGATTACAGATAGGGAGAGTGTGTGTAACAGCTTTCCATCACGAGAGTGTTTGACACACACACACTTCCTCAAAACTAGGTTGTACGGTGGGCCCCATCTTGTCAGCTCAACACTGTGGCACTAGCGTCATATGTATGAGACCGCAATACATCCCAGTACAACTAGTGTGATCAGGCTTGTTGCTGGGCAGGGACAAAAGCCTGCACACCATGTGTGTTTCGAAGACTAGGGTTGGCCATCCAATGGCTCAAACCATCGCTTTCATCTTCCCTCAGATCAGGCTTTAGTAATCACAGTCAATGAGCTATAGAACATTACTGCAAACCACAGTCACATTTTACAGGAAGGGTAGCCTACTTCAAAATGTACATGTACAGCACAATATAATGAGGAATTAAACCAGTTTCAATATTCAAGCAGCTCTGTCCAAACTAACAACTGACAGGAGTTATATAAGTAGTGTGTATTTAGTAACAGCTTTAGAGAAACTGAGACTAATCTGAACAATATCAGCTACAGACATGGTGACACTCTCTTTCTACACAGCACTGAGAATGGCAAAGAGTGTGTCCACTGTTAGGCCAGTGTGTGTGTTCGTGTGTGAGAAAGCTTGAAGTGGATACCCATGGTATTGTATAAAGAATAGAATGGTGTATAACTGCTCAGTAATGTTGGAGTGAAGCCCAGGTCTATTCTAGTACAGGGCAGAGGGGAGCTGTACCTGTAGACACTAGGAGGGGTCTAGAGGGGTTCACCCCCTTCCCTGTTTCTCTCCCTGTTTCTAAGTCCCTCCCTCAGAAAGGTGGAGGGCGGTTAGTTTGGGGGGCGTTAAATGTTTCCAGACTGTTCTCTAGTCACTATGGAGACCGGCCTACTGCTTCCTGTTGTTTTGTTTTGGTCTTAGTTTTTTGAATGTGTATGTTGGAGGGTGTGAGGTTAGGAGGGGTGTTTACAAACCAAAGCGCACTCCTCACTCATTACTCATCACTGTTTCATACCTTCATATACCTGTCTGATCCGGCAACACACTAGCTGGCAGAGATTAAGGCTCAATATCTGTCAAGAAAATCTCAATCCAATTCAGTTCCTCAGTCAAAAGGACACTCCTCTCACTACTGGAGCTTCACACAGTTACTAAACCATCAGCAGCTGCCTCAGTCACTCACAAACCCTAATCTCTGAATAAGTGACTCAGAACTCACTAACAAGGCATTTTTACTGGCTGTGGTTGAGCTGTAACTCCCTACCGATGTGTGTGTGTGTGTGTGTGTGTGTGTGTGTGTGTGTGTGTGCGTGGTACGGGAAGTGGGGAAAGGGGTAAAGTATTTAAACAACCCCAAATAAACAGTCAGAAAGCCTCAGAGTGGTGGTCTAGTCACTACAGGATGTCCCCTAGTAAAACACACACACAACTTATTCCTGATGTGAAACTGAAAACAAAAACAGCCTAATCTAAACACTGACAACCTAGTTTGACATAATGATAGTGGCTTTGTCTGCTAACCAGTAATGCACAGCCTCTATACACAGCTTTTCACTGGGTCTCAACCTTCATTGAAATTTACACCAGAGTTATTAAAGACATTAATAGCCATCTTTAAAGTGCCATCCCTCTCTCTATGTTTTCAGAGCGCTCCATGTGTAGATAACATTAGTGTGGTGATGAGAAGCCAGAACATGAAGTCCTGAAACCTCCCTTCATTCTACCTCCCCTCTGAACACAATCACTCTATTGTAGTACAGACCACTTTCAACCGGGCACGGCCCACTGCCTTTTATTGTGTATGTGTGTGTGTGTGTGTGTGTTTATACAGTACCAGTCAAAAGTTTGGACACACCTACTCATTCAAGGGTTTTTCTTTATTTTTACTATTTTCTACATTATAGAATAATAGTGAAGACATCAAAACTATGAAATATGGAACCATGTAGTAACCAAAAAAGTGTTAAACAAATCAAAATATATTTTTGATTTTAGATTCTTCAAAGTAGCCACTCTTGGCATTCTCTCAACCAGCTTCACCTGGAATGCTTTCCCAACAGTCTTGAAGGAGTTCCCACATATGCTGAGCACTTGTTGGCTGATTTTTCCTTCACTCTGTGGTCCGACTCATCCCAAACCATCTCAATTGGGTTGAGGTCGGGGGATTGTGGAGGCCAGGTCATCTGATGCAGCACTCCATCACTCTCCTTCTTGGTCAAATAGCCCTTACACAGCCTGGAGGTGTGTTGGGTCATTCTCCTGTTGAAATCAAATAATAGTCCCACTAAGCCCAAACCAGATGGGATGGCGTATCGCTGCAGAATGCTGTGGTAGCCATGCTGGTAAGTGTGCATTGAATTCTAAATAAATCACAGACAGTGTCCCCAGCAAAGCACCCTCACACCATAACACCTCCTCCTTCATGCTTTACAGTGGGAATTACACATGCAGAGATAATCCGTTCACCCACACCGCGTCTCACAAAGACACGGCGGTTGTAACCAAAAATCTCCAATTTGGATTCATCATACAAAAGGACAAATTTCCACCGGTCTAATGTCCATTGCTTGTGTTTGTTGGACCAAGCAGGTCTCTTCTTCTTATTGGTGTCCTTTAGTAGTGGTTTCTTTGCAGCAATTCGATCATGAAGGCCTGATTCACACAGTCCCCTCTGAACAGTTGATGTTGAGATGTGTCTGTGACTTGAACTCTGTGAAGCATTTATTTGGGCTGCAATTTCTGAGGCTGGTAAGTCTAATCAACTTATCCTCTGCAGCAGAGGTAACTCTGGGTCTTCCATTCCTGTGGCGGTCCTCATGAGAGCCAGTTTCATCATAGCGCTTGATGTTTTTTGTGACTGCACTTGAAGAAACTTTCAAAGTTCTTGAAGTTTTCCGTATTGTCTGACCTTCATGTCTCAAAGTAATGATGGACTGTCGTTTCTCTTTGCTTATCTGAGCTGTTCTTGCCATAATATAGACTTGGGCTTTTACCAAATAGGGCTATCTACCTTGTCACAACACAACTGATTGGCTCAAACGCATTAAGGAAAGAAATTCCACAAATTAACTTTTAAGAAGGCACACCTGTTAATTGAAATGGATTCCAGGTGACTACCTCATGAAGCTGGTTGAGAGAATGTCAAGAGTGTACAAAGCTGTCATCAAGGCAAAGGGTGGCTACTTTGAAGAATCTCAAATATAAAATATATGTTGATTTGTTTAACACTTTTTTGGTTACTACATGATTCCATATGTGTTATTTCATAGTTTTGATGTCTTCACTATTATTCTACAATGTAAAAAATAGTAAAAATAAAGAAAAACCGTTGAATGAGTAGGTGTGTCCAAACTTTTGACTGGTAGTGTATATCTACAAAAGGTGAGATATGAGGAGAAAACATCCTGCCAATAATGAAAGATCCAAGAGGGCCCTTCCCAGCAAACCGAGAACATTCACAGAACATTAGCTAAGATTTCCATTAAGTTCTAGATTTAGTCTAACATTAGGATGATAACATCCCAAAAACATTTGTAAAAGTTGTTTTTTATGTTTATGTTGTAAATGAAATATCCTTAGAATGTTCTCCTAACATTCACTCAAATGTTGTGCAACAACATCTGTAACAACCACCACAGAACATTCCCCAAAAATGTCTCATTAGGTTTCCAGGTAATGTAATAACACAATGTACCAGTAATGTTTTCCCAGCAAACCAAAATTGGTTCTGTGAAAGTTCTCATAACACAAAAACTGTCCAGTCGTGCTGGTGATTATACAATGTTTGTATAAACATTTGCCTGATGTTGCCAGAACGTTCCCAGAACACATTTTGTCTGTTCTTTAAAGGTTCCCAGAATGTTTTATTAGGTTGTGGGAACAGTCTGGTGGGAACATTGTGGGGACATCACAAAATATATGTTCCCAAAACACAAGAAACTGTCAAGTTGTGTGGATGATTATACAATGTTTATTTTAGGATGCAAAAAAACATTAACCTGATGTTTTTCATGTTCTTTCAAAGTTTCTAAAACATTTATTTAGGTTGTGGGAACATTGTGGGGATATGACAGGAGATTCCCAAAACACAAAATATGTTTAGTTGTGATGACATTCATGCAATGTTTAAGTTAAGTTGCACAGGACATTCCCTTAATGTTGTAAGAATGTTGACAGAACAACTGGTCTAAGTTCTTTAAAGGTTCCCAGAACATTTCATTAAGTTATGGGAGTTGTCTGGGATGTCGCTCTGGATAAGAGCGTCTGCTAAATGACGTAAATGTAAATGTTGCAAGAATATTTTTGTGATATTCACGAAGGTTGCACAGAACATTCCCACAATGTTGCACAATGTTCCACAATTTCCAGTCAGTTTTTTATGACGTTCATAGCATATTTGTTTTAGGTTCAACATAATATTTAATTGATGTTCATGTAATATACATTTTACCTAGTCTTAGAGGTCCTCAGAAAATTTCAATAACACTACTTCTTACCGCACTACTTCTTATCACACTGCTCGCTTATCCCAGAAGTCAGCCGCACCAATGTGTCAGAGGAAACACCATTCGACTGATGACTGTTTTCAGCTTGCAGGTGCCCGGCCCTGCCACAAGGAGCTGCTAGAGCATGATGAGCCAAGGACAGCCCCCTGGCCAAACCCTCCCCTACCCCGGATGGCAAATTGTGCGCCGTCCTATGGGGCTCCTGGTCACGGCCGGCTGTGATGCAGTGCTTTTGAACGCTGCACCACTCAGGAGCTCTTCAATAACATTTCTGACTGGATTTATAAATCTGGACGAAATAAAAACACCCTCTCTTTTAGTATATTTGAGCCTCAATTTGACCGTTTCTTTTCTCCAAAAGAAACATGGTTAAAGAGTATGTGGGATTGAATCTGCAATCTTCAGATCTGCAACCAGATCATTAACCCTCTGTGCCACCAGGGGATAGCTGTGGCCTTGCAGGGTTTTTTCAGTCTAATATGGTCAATCAGGACAGAACACAATTTCTGAGTAATTAAAATATTTCCATCCTTCATATGATGTGCACTTGTAACACTGTATTTCATGATTTTGCTCTTTGCTATTGCATTTTTTTTTAACCATTTAATTTAAGACAATCCCAGTAAGGTACTTCATTGTTACCCAGAAATGCTTTGATATTGAGAAAAAAATGCATTGCACCTTTAAATCAATAAAAGATTATTGCATTGAACCTGAATTTGTTTTTGTATATTTATTATGTATCATCATTTTTCAGAATGGGCATTGCATGAATTTGTATGTGTTTTCAATGAAATTGAGGAAAGGTCTAATTGTTTTCTTGTTCAGTTTGAAGGTTCTGAGCCTGTATTTAAGAAGCATATGAATACACAAGAATGCAAGTTATTTTAAGGAAGCTCTATCCAACTTTCAACACAGGTGATGAAGAAAGAAAATCATAAAATACTGTGTTACAAGTACACAGCATATAAAGAGGATGGGAACTAGCTGTGCCCGACTAAAAAATCTTGGTCGACCTAGAGACGTCTGTCCTTTCGACTAATCGATTGGTCAAAAAAATATATGTAACGTGTATTTTTCCCTATATAGCTTGTCTGATGCTTTAAGCACACTGTGATTAAATAATTAAGAAAAACAAATGACTCGAGGGAGCCAGAGATCAAGATAGCCTAACCAGAAGAAAAAAAACTTTCCTCCCACTGCTGCTGGCCTTCGCAGATTGTGCTGTTACGCTCCTGCTGTTACGCTCCTAATAGGCTACACCAGGGGTCAGCAACCTTTTCCATTTGGAGTGCCAACTTATCTTACCATTTCTACCGATCTGCGTGCCAGTTATGATTTTTATATGCACATTTTCGTGGAATAGTTTCATTTAATTTATAATCTCTAAATCATTATCATGTGGTTAATCAAAATTCTAAAAGTAACTTCTATTGCCATTGCCAACTATGTAAAAAATTGCCTACATAAAGCCAACAAATAAAAACATTGCAACCTGCAGGTTGAAAATATCCTGATAAAAATAAATATCCTATAAATCACATTGTCTATACATGGCCTGTCTGCAAGGAACTGGAAACATTATATCAACTATTAACTTAGGTCTGGCTTGAAGCTTGCTCTAGCAAACTTGCAACATTGTATAAAATATTCTGGGCCCTCAGAGTTTCCTGCTCCAGTAAACTCTGGACACATAGCTGTAGGCTATTTGCGAAAGGGATTAGAAGTAATCAGGTAGGCCTATTTTATGACATTTCCACCGGATCAGAGCATTAAATTATTTCCCCCCCTTTCACACTGAGTGGTTATCAAAAGAGAGCTGTAAAGATTTTTCAAATAGGCTACGTTGAGGAACTATTGGCATTCTCAATGGATGTAAAAACAGACTTCGTTTCCTTGCTGTTTGAGGTGAAGAAAAAATTACTCTGAGAAGTTCCACAGTGGTGTTGAGTTAAGACAATCAGAAATACTATCAGATCCCCAAATGTGCACATTTATAGGCCTACATTTGCGCGCAGGCCAGGTAGCCTAGGCCTACTTCAATGTGTAATTAGGTGTGTGTCCTTACTCAACATTGACAGGAGCGCTACAAACAAACTCCTAAATGGAATGAAATAAACCAAAATGATGATCTGTCTGCCAAGCTGAAGAGTGCAGGTTCAATCCCACATGTTGTTTAACCATGTTTCTTTTGAAAAACAGTGAAATTGAGGCTCAAATATAATCTACTAAAAGAGGGGATGTCTTTATTTCATCCAGATTTATAAATCCAGTCAAAAATGCATAATTTAGACTAACCGTAAAAATTCAGCACTGTGTAAAAATGGACTGTTCAACATAAAAAAACACACCTGATTTCATTCCTACTTTGAGACGCTTTATATGGTCCCCCCTTGATCTGAAAACCAAAAGTGATCCTAGATCAGCACTCAATAGTCTTGCATACCTTCTAAATATGGGCCCAGAAGTACACAGCATATAAAGAGGATGGGGAAGTGATGGTGAAAAAGCCAGTTACCAGTATTTCCCTGGGTTAGTTATGTCTAAGAATGCTAAAACGGAAGCATGGTATTCCTTATTGACTATACTGCCATGGTTATATACTGAAAAAAGTAGATGTGAGAGCGCTTCCCCAGTGGTGCAGAAGATAAAAGATCTGGCTTGGGAACCGAATGTTGCAGGTTCAAACATTTACATTTACATTTTACATTTTAGTCATTTAGCAGACGCTCTTAACCAGAGCGACTTACAGGAGCAATTAGGGTTAAGTGCCTTGCTCAAGGGCACATTAACGTCATTTAGCAGACGCTCTTAGCCAGAGCGACTCACAAATTGGTGCGTTCACCCTATAGCCAGTGGGATAACCACTTTACAATTTGGGGGGGGGGGGGGGGGGGTTAGAAGGAATACTTTAGCCTATCCCAGGTATTCCTTAAAGAGGTGGGGTTTCAAATGTCTCCGGAAGGTGGTGAGTGACTCCGCTGTCCTGGCGTCGTGAGGGAGCTTGTTCCACCATTGGGGTGCCAGAGCAGCGAACAGTTTTGACTGGGCTGAGCGGGAGCTGTGCTTCCGCAGAGGAAGGGGAGCCAGCAGGCCAGAGGTGGATGAACGCAATGTCCTCGTTTGGGTGTAGGGACTGATCAGAGCCTGAAGGTACAGGGGTGCCGTTCCCCTCACTGCTCCAAAGGCAAGCACCATGGTCTTGTAGCGGATGCGAGCTTCAATTGGAAGCCAGTGGAGTGTGCGGAGGAGGGGGGTGACGTGAGAGAACTTGGGAAGGTTGAACACCAGACGGGCTGCGGCATTCTGGATGAGTTGTAGGGGTTTAATGGCACAGGCAGGGAGCCCAGCCAACAGCGAGTTGCAGTAGTCCAGACGGGAGATGACAAGTGCCTGGACCAGGACCTGCGCCGCTTCCTGTGTAAGGCAGGGTCGCACTCTCCGAATGTTGTAGAGCATGAACCTGCAGGAGCGGGTCACCGCCTTGATGTTGGCGGAGAACGACAGGGTGTTGTCCAGGGTCACGCCTAGGCTCTTCGCACTCTGGGAGGAGGACACAGCGGAGTTGTCTACCGTGATGGCGAGATCATGGAACGGGCAGTCCTTCCCCGGGAGGAAGAGCAGCTCCGTCTTGCCAGGGTTCAGCTTGAGGTGCATCAAACCCCACGTGCATATTGTCAACATATAAAGTATAATTAAATGCTGTTCAAATGTCCTATGAATGCAACTGTCAAAGTTAATGCAGGAGATCTTAATTACACATATTTTTTACACTGTTAAATGCATCTCCATTTCTTCACCTCACAGACCCTTTTAAGCGCAAGTGTTTCCGCACTAGGGCTGACCCCATTTAGTCGTCTGGTCATTGTTTTTAGTCAAGCAGTCGCAAATATATATATTTTTTATGGCACACAAGACACCTGTCTGATTCGCGCCTGTCTCAGTGGACTAATCAATTGCGGATGCCACTGGGATGGCACGGTCCAAGAAGTAGGGGAGTGTGGCTAAAATGCACAAGCTACACTTTCTCCAAAATGCGCTCTCTCCCGACATTTCGTGCTCATTTATCATTGTGTGAATTGTTTGCCCTTGTTAGTGTCTATCAATTCCCTTTACATATCACCAGTAGTACATTTACCGTTAATTCCCATAATTTCTAATCTACAATGCTTGTTTGGTTATGGTAATTTCTGTTAATGCATTCAATATATTATTATTACAGTCATTTACCGTTCTCATTGTTGGAGTGGACATGTTGTTTGCAGAGCTCACAACCTATGCTACACTTGTGAGAAACAAGTTTGGGTTTATTTAATTCCATTTACGAGTTTAGTCAATTTTTTCATTGTCTTTTATTTGGAGCGTTCCAGTTAATGTTGAGTAAGGACACGCACCAGATTACGCATATAGAAGTAGACCTAGGCTACCTGACCTGCACACAAATGTCGGCCTATAAATGTTCCCATTTGGGGATGTCTGATGGTGTTTCTGATTGTCTTAACTCCACCACTAATGAGCTATGGAGCCTCAAAGTAATTTTTTCTTCACCTCAAACAGCATGTAAACAAAGTCTGTTTTTAGAATCCATTGAGAATGACAATAGTTCCTCAATGTATTTGAAAAATATTTACAGCTCCCTCCCTTTTGATAATCAATCGGCATGAAAGGGAAAAATGCAAGGCTCTGATCCAGTGGAAACTTCATAAAATACCTGATTACTTCTTATCCCTTGCACAAATATCCTACAGCTGTGTCTGTCCTGAGCACACTAGCGTGGAAACTCTGAGGGCCCAGAATATTTTATACAATGTTGCAAGGTTGCTAGCGCTAGCTTCGGGCCTGACCCAGTTGATAGTTGATACAATGTTTCAAGTTCGTTGAAGACAGGCCATTTGTAGACAATGTGATTCATAGGATATTTATTTTTATCAGGATCATTTCTACCTGCAAGCTGCAATGTTTTAATTTGTTGGCTTTATGTAGGCTATTTTTACATAGTTGGCAATGGTAATAGAAGTTACTTTTAGATTTGTATCATTTTGATTTTGATTTAGATATAATTTTGATTAACCACATGACAATGATTTTGAGATACATGAAAATGTTCCACGAAAATGTGCATAGGAAAATCATAACTGGCATGCAGATCGCTAGAAATGGTAAGATAAATTGGCACCCAAATTGAAAAGGTTGTCGACCCCTGGTATAGTCTATTACCGGCAACTTCAGGAGCGTAACGGTATAATCTACGAAGGCCAGCAGCAGTGGGAGGAGGCGGGTCAGGAACAGTTTTTTTTCTCCTTCTGGTTAGGCTATCTTGATCTCTGGCTCCCTCTTAAGTCATTTGTGTGTCTTAATTATTTAATCAAATAGTGTGCTTAAAGCATCAGAAAAGCTCAGTAGCCTACATAAAGTTGATTTTATGTGTCTATTTATGGAAAATTATATACACTACCGTTCAAAAGTTTGGGGTCACTTAGAAATTGTCCATTAAAATAACATCAAATTGATCAGAAATACAGTGTATGTCATGCCCTGACTCTGGGGACTCGTATTTGTTGAGTCAGGGTGTGTATTTTCTGTGTGTATGTTCTATGTTGTATTTTCTAGGTTTAGATCTAGATCGTCTAGATCTATGTTGGCCGGTGTGGTTCCCAATCAGAGGCAGCTGTCGCTCGTTGTCTCTGATTGGGGACCATACTTAGGTAGCCTATTGGCACTAGTGGGTTGTGGGATCTTGTTCCGTGTAGGTATGTTTTGTGTTCTACCTTGGACTTCACGTTTCATTTGTTTATTGTTTTGTCGGTTGTTTATTCATTAAAATAAACATGTACGCATATCACGCTGCGCCTTGGTCCGTCCCGTCGATGAACGATCGTGACAGTGTAGACCTTGTTAATGTTGTAAATGGCTATTGTAGCTGGAAACGGCTGATTTTTTATGGAATATCTACATAGGCGTACAGAGGCCCATTATCAGCAATCACCAGTCCTGTGTTCCAATGGCACGTTGTGTTTGCTAATCCAGGTTGATCATTTTAAAAGGCTAATTGAACATTACAAAACACTTTTGCAATTATGTTAGCACAGCTGAAAACTGTTGTGCTGATTAAAGAAGCAATACAACTGGCCTTCTTGAGACTAGTTGAGTATCTGGAGCATCAGCAATTGTGGGTTCGATTGCAGGCTCACAATGGCCAGAAACAAATAACTTTATTCTGAAACTCGATAAATGAAGGCTATTCTATGCGAGAAATTGCCAAGAAACTGAAGATCTCGTACAACGCTGTGTACCACTCCCTTCACAGAACAGCGCAAACTGGCTCTAACCAGAATAAAAAGAGGAATGGGAGGCCCCGGTGCACAACTGAGCAAGAGGAAAAATACATTAGAGTGTCTAGTTTGAGAAACAGGCGCCTCACAGGTCCTCAACTGGCAGCTTCATTAAATAGTACCCGCAAAACACCAGTCTCAATGTCAACAGTGAAGAGGCGACTCCAGGATGTTGACCTTCTAAGCAGAGTTGCAAAGAAAAAGCCATATCTCAGACTGCCCATCTTAATCTACATTTTTTATTGGCCAGTCTGAGATATGGCTTTTTCTTTGCAACTCTGTCTAGAAGGTCAGCATCCCGGAGTCGCCTCTTCACTGTTGACGTTGAGACTGGTGTTTTGCGGACTTATTTGGAAATTGTAGAACATTGTGGGAATGTTCTATGTAACCTATGTGAATGTCACAAGAATATTCTTGCAACATCCCAGACAACTTCCATAGCTTAACTAAATGTTCTGGGAACCTTTCATTGACTTAGATCAGGTGTTCTGTCAACATTCTTCCAGCATTATAGGAATGTCCTGTGCAACATAACTTAAACATTGCATGAATGTCATCACTAATGAGCATATTTTGTGTTTTAGGAACCTCTCTCTTTTGAAATATACCCACACTGTTCCCACAACCTAATTATATGGTCTGGGAACCTATAAAGAACTCGGAAAGGCTGTTCTGTAAACATTCTTGCAACATCAAATTAATGTTTTGTGCATCCTGATACAACATTATCCGAATGTCAGCACAACTGGACAGTTTTAGTGTTTTGGGAACCTATCTCTTGTCATATCCCCACAATGTTTCACAACATAAATAAACATTGTGGGAACCCTTATAGAACAAAAGAAAAGTGTTATGGGAACATTCTTGTAACATCAGGTGAATGTTTTTCGCACCCTAAAAGAAACATTGTAGAATCATCCGCACAACTGGACAGTTTCTCTGTGTTGCCAACATATCCTTTATGATGTCCCCACAATGTTCCCACCAGACTGTTCCCACAACCTAATGAAACATTCTGGGAACCTTTAAAGATTAAATGTGCTCTAGGAATGTTCTTGCAACATCAGGCGAATGTTTTATACAATGATTATGATGATTATGAATCTATAATCATCAGCATGACCGGACAGTTTTTGTGTTATGAGAACACATGTGGCGACCTAACGAATGTTCTGGGAATTTTTACAGAACCAATATGTGGTTGGAAGCTAACGCCAACCACCAACTCATTCCTGTGATCTAAAATAGGAGACTAGGCCAGCATTCCCATCTTTTCTCCATGGTGATGTAACATCTAGGAAACATCAGGAGATGAGACTAGTATGGGATAGAGCAGGAAGCTGGGGGGAATGGGGCACAGTGGTGAGACATTTAGACTGGAATGCACGCACACACATACACACAAACACACACACACACACACACACACACACACACACACACACACACACACACACACACACACACACACACATTGGAACAGGACGGGCAAACAGGAAAGCTGAGACAGACAGGAAGCCTTTGTCAGTGCTGAGGGGTCAGAGTTCACAGACGGCGTGTGTGTGTGTGTGTGTGTGTCCGTTGATCCAGCGAGGAGACGTTGGACATTACTAGGGTCAAAGTTGAAAGGCTTTAATAGACTACCAGGTGACCGTTGGAATGACAGGATGTTCCATCTTTATAAAACGTCAGACACACAATGGAGGGAGAGAGAAAGAGAGAGACATAATTAAATTCTGTGTCTTACCTTCCTGGGTTTGACCTTGTCTTGGTAGTCATACTGGAAGATTCCTTTATAACTCAGTCCCAGCCACCACGGAATTCCCTGCTTATCCTGACACACACAGAGAGAAGATACACACATCAGAGGTTGTGTGCGTATTTCATAGCCCCCCAAGAAACTCACCCACCCACTCAGCCCCCAACCCCAAGAGAGAGAGTATGTGAGTAAGTGATAAAGTTGTACCTTAACAGTGTAGTAATGTACTCCATATGTAGGCAGGGACTCAACGATGCTCATATAACTGTTAGAGACAAAGAGACAGAGACACACAGAGAGAGACATTAGTCAGTCAGAGAGCTCACAGTGTTCAACTTCACAGCACACACTGAAGCGAGAGAGAGAGCACTATAAACACACACACACACACACACATGGATACACTCAGCATGTGAGAGAGATGTCTGAACACACACACACAGCTCAAGAGAGAGAGCATGCAGAAAGAGAATATGAGACACACACACAGACACACACCCTCCCCCTCTCCAGTCTTACTTGACTATGGCCTGCCCTCTGGACTGTCCATTGAGCTTCTTGTAGTGTTCTATCACCCGGTCCTCACTGGAACAGAAAACATACACAAAATATAACTTAATCATATCAAACAGGCAGCCAGGTCGAGCAACCAGGCAGTAGAGTTTGGTGGCCCTGGTCTATTGGACCAATAAGACAGGCTGGGACTCACCAGTAGGCCAGAGATGGGTGTTCCTTCAGGGCCTGAGTTGGCAAAGCTGGAAGCTTCTTCAGGTCTGACCTTGTCACGTCATTACTGCAACACACACAGAAACACACACGTCATTACTGTGAACACACACTGAACTCAAACTGCCAAGACGTGTTGGAGACAGATTGGCATTAGTGATATAAGCCCCTACAAAGGTGTCTCCAATAATGTGATGTTTGTCTACCTCAATGATGTATTGACTTTAATCCAAGGATATTTCCTCATGATTAATCTATGGGTTTGGCCAGAGTTAGTAACTGACAAGGTAGGGGGGGGGGGGGGGGGGGGGGGGGGGGACTAATGCTGCCCTGTTGTGTTTTAGGGGAACCGATGAGACAGTCACACAGCTGGCTGGGCGTTGTCTAGGGAACAGCTGTGGAGACAGAAAGAGAGAGAGAGACAGAGCAGAGACAGAGAGCGAGAGAGAGAGAGGGAAAGAGAGAGATGAAGAAGAACCCAGACTCCATGTCTTAAACCCCTCTGTAATCCCCTAACCCTCCCAGCTCCCTGAGACTGAGACTGGGGGAAAGCCCTGGAAACATGGAAGCCAACACTCCCGACCCAAAAAAACAAAAACTTTTGTATTTATTATATATATATATATATATATATATATATATATATATATTTTTAACTCAGTCGGGGTCTCAACTTACTGTTGATAGTTAGAATAGAAGGTGCAATTTCGAAATTTGGTTGTGCATCAGCAGTTTTTCTCTTTATTATCTTTTTCTCTTTATTATGTCAGTCATTGACAGTCACCCAATTAGCTACTGTATGTCAGCTAACTATTTTTTGATTGGTAAGTTAGTCTAGCCAGCTATCTAAACTTGTAGTAATCATGACCGAACACCGACCAGGCACGCAGGGCACGTGCTCAGGGGCCCTGACCTCCAGGGGACCCCCATTGATTTTGTAAGTCACTACCACTCAGATATCATTAACATGGCATAGGTCATGGCAAAATGTGTCGAATGGCAGGAAAGATGCTTTAATACGGCAAATATGTCTCTCCACCCTCCCAAGGCAAAATGGGTAGAATTGCTGGAAATTAGCTATAAAATTGCAAAATGTTCTCTCCGCCCCATGGCAAACTGTGTAGGATTGCAGAAAACTTGCTTTAAAACTGCAACAAAAAAAATCTACGCCCCATGGCAAAATGTGTAGAATTGATGGAAATGTACTTTAAAACGTACATTTTTCTCTCCGCCGTCTAGAGGGAGGTCACAATTTTTTTTTGCCTGCGAGGTGGGGGTGCCCACCATCCAAATCCCACCTAGGGCCCCCAAAAGTCTAGCAAACAATGCTACCGTAATATTTAGTGTAATATGTCCATAAATGCTATTTATTCACCAAATAAGAAGGTGTGTAAACATCCTTTATCCTCCACTACATCTCTGGCCTTTTTGGCATGATTTGGTGAATCATGACCTCCTTTTCTGTGTGTGTGTCACATTCCAGAGCTCAGTGGAACGCCATGTTTATTTATGCTCTCTGTGAAGAAGAGGAAATGGGGTCAAAGGTGAACGCTGTTCAACCCTGTCTTCACCGCTCACACACTGATGAATAATTTGTATCCTGTACCTCTCTAAGATACAGAACAACGATATAAGATACTGTATGTGTTTCCCTTTAACTGTAAAGGCCTTGCAATCCATCTGTATTTAAAGAAAGATAGTAATGCAAAAAACACCTATATAAACAACCAAAGTTATACAGTGGGGAAAAAAAGTATTTAGTCAGCCACCAATTGTGCAAGTTCTCCCACTTAAAAAGATGAGAGAGGCCTGTAATTTTCATCATAGGTACACGTCAACTATGACAGACAAAATGAGAAAAGAAATTCCAGAAAATCACATTGTAGGATTTTTTATGAATTTATTTGCAAATTATGGTGGAAAATAAGTATTTGGTCACTCCCTCCAAAGATTTTCTATGGGGTTGAGATCTGGAGACTGGCTAGGCCACTCCAGGACCTTGAAATGCTTCTTATGAAGCCACTCCTTTGTTGCCCGGGCGGTGTGTTTGGGATCATTGTCATGCTGAAAGACCCAGCCACGTTTCATCTTCAATGCCCTTGCTGATGGAAGGAGGTTTTCACTCAAAATCTCACGATACATGGCCCCATTCATTCTTTCCTTTACACGGATCAGTCGTCCTGGTCCCTTTGCAGAAAAACAGCCCCAAAGCATGATGTTTCCACCCCCATGCTTCACAGTAGGTATGGTGTTCTTTGGATGCAACTCAGCATTCTTTGTACTCCAAACACGACGAGTTGAGTTTTTACCAAAAAGTTCTATTTTGGTTTCATCTGGCCATATGACATTCTCCCAATCCTCTTCTGGATCATCCAAATGCACTCTAGCAAACTTCAGACGGGCCTGGACATGTACTGGCTTAAGCAGGGGGACACAGCAGGATTTGAGTCCCTGGCGGCGTAGTGTGTTACTGATGGTAGGCTTTGTTGCTTTGGTCCCAGCTCTCTGCAGGTCATTCACTAGGTCCCCCCGTGTGGTTCTGGGATTTTTGCTAACCGTTCTTGTGATCATTTTGACCCCACAGGGTGAGATCTTGCGTGGAGCCCCAGATCGAGGGAGATTATCAGTGGTGTTGTATGTCTTCCATTTCCTAATAATTGCTCCCACAGTTGATTTCTTCAAACCAAGCTGCTTACCTATTGCAGATTCAGTCTTCCCAGCCTGGTGCAGGTCTACAATTTTGTTTCTGGTGTCCTTTGACAGCTCTTTGGTCTTGGCCATAGTGGAGTTTGGAGTGTGACTGTTTGAGGTTGTGGACAGGTGTATTTTATACTGATAACAAGTTCAAACAGGTGCCATTACTACAGGTAACGAGGGGAGGACAGAGGAGCCTCTTAAAGAAGAAGTTACAGGTATGTGAGAGCCAGAAATCTTGCTTGTTTGTAGGTGACCAAATACTTATTTTCCACCATAATTTGCAAATAAATTCATTAAAAATCCTACAATGTGATTTTCTGGATTTTTTTTCCTCAATTTGTCTATCATAGTTGACGTGTACCTATGATGAAAATTACAGGCATCTCTCATCTTTTTAAGTGGGAGAACTTGCACAATTGGTGGCTGACTAAATACTTTTTTTCCCCACTGTACATTGTAATATATTTGCAAACATGTCATTTTGTAAACACACATTTTCACTATGATGCTTCTAACTAACCTTCACTTTCCAAACCGATACAGTGGCCGACAAATCATCCATCTCCCAAAAAGTGTAAACCAATAGAGAGCAAACTGTTTTAGGGGGCAGAAGGCTCATCATGTGAGCTGCCCTCCCTGCCTTCATCTCACCCTGTTACACTGCTCTGGTCTTAATTGGCTAGCAGTCATGCACTGTGGAGCCCTGTCACACGCACACACACACACACACATACACACACACAGCCATGCACTACAATAAACTACCCCCCACTGACCCTCTCTAAAGACAGACTCTTCAGCGCTGGATGGAGAGAGTGAATCAGGGGACTGGGGTTGAGAGGCAGACAGGCAGACAAGTGCAGGTCTTTTGAGAGGAGAGGGAGGGAGGCGATTTGCTTTGCTGCTCTGAAGTGCTCAGAGTGCCCAGGACAGACCCCCTACACAGGGTGTAATTGTTCCCCTGTCACACACACACACACATGCACACACACACAGACACACATTTTACATTTTAGTCAACACACACACACACACACACACACACAAACCTATCCCACCCTCCCCTCACCCAAAAACCAAACAAACACGTGGGCCACATCCCATCTACTCCCCACTGAGACAAGGACTATAGGCTGGAGGCTCCTGGATACTAGTTGTTATAGTGTACATTATACACATACCACTTACTTTAGTACAGATATATAATAACTGTTCTTACCTGATGAAGTCACCTTTAGCCTCCTGGAAAGAGAAAAGAGAGAGAGAGGTGGTTAGCACCAGGGTTGGACTCAATTCAGAATTTTGGAATTGACTCCCATTCAACTCATGAATTGAAATTGGAAGTAGAATGTAATTCAGTGCAATTCAAAGAATTTCCACTCAGTAATAGAACATGGGAGTTTCATTGAATCCTACAGGTCACACTTCCAGATACCAAAGAATATACCACTTTTCTCTGGAAACAATGTTAATATACTATTTTAACCTTAGTGCTTTGAATAGGCAATTATATTTCCACCAACCATTTCATTTGTTTAGCTTCTTTTTGAAGGCCTCAGGGTCAACTTGAGGGTTAAACTAATGGATTCTGTGAAATGTAGTATTTTCCCCATATTGAACAAAATGTACAGTAGAATATTCGCATACAGGTTTTGTTTTCCTTGATCATTCATTTTAAAAGTCTGTTCTAGAAATCTATTGTTTCAACAATATTTTCTATGCAGGTATATAACAACATGTTTGATGTTTTATGTAGAAGATGTATATTTGTATAGACTATACCTAATATAGAATAGAAGAGGCATTTTAATGTAATTTAATTTCACAGAATGTAATTATATTTCCTTGAATTGCAATTCTGTATCCTGTTTACTACTTCAATTCAAATTTAAGAATTTAATTGGTATTTATGAGGCATTCTCAATTCAATTATGAATTGAGCCCAACCCTGTTTGATACATACACTCAGGGGTGCAACTTTGGCTTTAGAAGTGGGGGGGACATTATTATTATTATATATTTTTTATCCAGTCGGATAAACACTCCAAACAGCTTACTCAACCGCTTGGAGGCGTCCACATGGTCCTAAAGCACACCGTTGCCTGATTTTGTATAACATTCCAATTATAAAACTGGGGGGGACAAAAATGCAATTTCAGAATGTGGGGCTGTCCCCAGTGAAAGTTGCGCCCCTGCATACACTACTATGGAGGGGAGAAAGCTGGCTTTTGCGGGTCAGGTAGTGAGTGTGTACGTGCGTCTGCGTCTGTGTGGGTGGGTGTGTGGGTGGGTGAGTGTACAGTGAGGTCTCCTGTGGTGAAATCAGAGAGAAATGTAATCCATCTGGAGCAAAACCTCTAAAGGCCAAGAGATACGTACCTGAAGCATCTGCACCTGCAGACACACACACGCACGCGGACACACACACACACACACACAAACGCACACACACTCACACGCCACAGTCTGTGAGTGTGTGTAAGCTGGTGTTTCAGGGTACTGAGGTAATGGGCTGACCTAGACTGAGGGGGAACCCTACACACTCCCTGGCCAATATACACACTCACTCCCTGGAACTAGGGATGGGAGCCCATTCAATCAATGTCTGATTTTTCAAATGATAAACATGATAAACATGACATACCAATGGCAACAGTCAGAGGAGTTGGCTAGAGCAGACACAGATCCAGGCAAACAACACTTATAATGTAAAGCAGGATTAAAGGAAAGACAGCTCACTATTTCAGTAGAAGGGAAGGGTCAAGTGAGTAATGTGGTCTGTGTCTGGAACACCCACATAAGTTGGAGTCAGAGTAGTTACATGTAGAGGGATGTAAGTCATTGGTCAAAGCTAGTGTAACTCTGACTTACCTGTAGGATATAGGAGGCCAGCTCAAATACCACCTCACTGTCCACCTCAATGAGCTCCTTAGAGAAATAGAGAGAGAGAGAGGAAGATGGAGAGGGAGAGAGAGAGAGAGAGAGAGAGAGAGAGAGAGAGAGGAGAGAGAGAGAGAGAGAGAGAGAGAGAGAGAGAGAGAGAGAGAGAATGAACGCATTAGATAAAGGGTATTCCTTGACTCTGTACTCACAGTGCTAATAAAACTAATCCATGGGAGCTGTGAGGGCCACATTTCATACATCACATTTATCCTGTACCTACAATACAACAATGAAAAACACATTCATACAGAATACACACGTTTCTATCACATTTTCCCCAGGACTCTCATTTCTCCATTGCTTTATTGTTGTATCTATCCCTCGCTTCCTCCCTCTCTCCCTCCCTGATTTCTTGTCCTCTCTTCATGGGGGGTTGTGTTCTCTGCTTCAGCTCAGAGATTACAGTGTGATGGGATTAACGGGGGAAGAGAGAATGAGGGAATGCACTGGTGACTCTCTTTCATCCTACAGTATCTCTGTCTTTCTCTTTGTCTCTCCATCCTGTTTACTTAGATGAGCAATGCTGGGACTGGGCCTACTCACACACATAGAAGGGGGTCTGAGGGAAGTGTATGTGGGTGTTAAGGGGTGACTAGTGACTAAAAGGGTCAGGTATGTAAGGAATGTCCTGTTTACGATCCCTGGCAGTTAATTGGTTAAGAGATCAGACAGCAGAGTGAAACACAACACTGAGTGCACTACCACACAGCATGGGCTCTCACCACGGGGCTGTGGCCTAGCAGTGTGTGTGTGTGTATGTGTGTGTCTGTATGTGTGTGTGGTCCAGTGTAAAACAAGCACGCCATCAACGCAGACAGGAGATGACTGCATTAAAACAACTCTAACATCTTAAACTTATCCACGTGTTTAACATTGACACAGAGAGTTGGTAATATGTTAATTCATGTCAAGTAAAAAGGAGACTTCACAGACAACCCTCTCTTCACTAGAGTCTGTTGGCCAGTCAGAGTGTGCCAGTCTCCCTTTATAAACAGCCTAGTCTTAGGTGTGATCTACTGGCTACGTGTTAGCATACGCTAAGCTATCAGTGCTGGGGATGTATTAGGAAAAGCTCTGGGTGTTGCTGGGGTGTTAGCATCTCTATTGGTGGAGGCATTTTGTTAGCAGGGGCTGGTTAACACTTTTGGTGCTGGAGATAGCGTAAGCTTAGCTAATGCTATATCTGTTCAAGCATCACACTGATGACTCAATAACCCACATATGCCCCCTTGTGGTGCAGTAACGACATGACTGGGAAAATAAATACACTACTAATCAATAAAAAACATGTATGCAAACTCAACTACAGGTAGTGATTAACTTACCTTGTATATGCAGGACTTAGCATTGAGGAAGAAGAGTTCAATAGTAGCATTGTCCTTCAGGTAGGAAATACTCTCTATGTAAAACCTAGAACACAGTCAATAAAACACATTATTATAGACCATCAGGAATGACATACTCTCTAATAACTGTGATGAACAGAAAAATTAATTACATTTCAGTATTATAGACCACGACACAATGAGTTGAAATGTTATGTAGCCTGGAACCAGACTGAAGTCAAAAGAAGCTCATTCAATCTACAGTAGTTCCAAGCTTGTATCTGTGGCAGAACTACAGTGAACAGAGTGTCCACTAGGGGTCATCAGACATTAGGCTTCCACACAGTTCCTATACCGTTCTCTGTCTGATACATGGCAACCATCCAACACACACACACACACGCATGCCATGCACACACAACAAACACACACACACACAAACACAACACACAAACCACACTGAGAAACACACACATCAAATACACCAACAGTGCAAAAGTGGACATGATGCATTTCACACAATGGTGAGCTGGCTGGCTGGATGGCTAGCTGCATCATCATCAGTGTGCAGGCAGGGAAACACAATAACCTACATGTACTTATGCATCAGTAGTGAGATGGGTGCTGCTGTAACATTATAATGTAGTCTATATACAGTACCAGTTAAAAGTTTGAACACACCTACTCATTCCAGTGTGTTTCTTTATTTTTACTATTTTCTACATTGTAGGATAATAGTGAAGACATCAAAACTATGAAAAAAACACATATGGAATCATGTAGTAACCAAAAAAGTGTTACACAAATCAAAATATATTTTATCTTTTAGGATCTTCAAATAGCCACCCTTTGCCTTGATGACAGCTTTGCACACTCTTGGCATTCTCTCAACCAGCTTCACCTGGAATGCTTTTCCAACAGTCTTGAAGGAGTTCCCACATATGCTGAGCACTTGTTGGCTGCATTTCCTTCACTCTGCCGTCCGACTCATCCCAAACCAATTTTTTTGAACGGGGCATGCTTATTTAAGATGGAGAGGAAAGCACTTTTAAAGAACATCCAGGCATCCTCTACTGACGGAATGAGGTCAATATCCATCCAGGATACCCGGGCCAGGTCAATTAGAAAGGCCTGCTCGCTAAAGTGTTTTATGGAGCGTTTGATAGTGATGAGGGGTGGTCGTTTGACCGCGGACCCATTACGGATGCAGGCAATGAGGCAGTGATCGCTGAGATTGTATGTATTAGGTGTATTTGGAGGGTAAATTAGTTAGGATGATATCTATGAGGGTGCCCATGTTTACGGATTTAGGGTTGTACCTGGTAGGTTCCTTGATAATTTGTGTGAGATTGAGGGCATCTAGTTTAGATTGTAGGATGGCCGGGGTGTTAAGCATATCCCAGTTTAGGTCACCAAGCAGTACGAACTCTGAGGATAGATGGGGGGCAATCAATTCACATATGGTGTCCAGGGCACAGCTGGGGGCTGAGGGGGGTCTGTAGCAAGCGGCAACAGTGATAGACTTATTTCTGGAGAGGTGGATTTTTAGAAGTAGAAGCTCAAACTGTTTGGGCAAAGACCTAGTATGAGTCCCAGCATTGCTCATCTAAGTAAACAGGATGGAGAGAAAAAGAGAAAGACAGAGATACTGTAGAATGATAAAGCTCTGCAGGCTATCTCTACAGTAGATTGCAACTCCGCCCCCTTTGGCAGTTCTATCTAGATGGAAAATGTTGTAGTTGGGGATGGAAATTTCAGAGTTCTTGGTGGTCTTCCTAAGCCAGGATTCAGACACTGCTAGAACATCAGGGTTGGCGGAGTGTGCTAACGCAGTGAGTAACTCAAACTTAGGGAGGAGGCTTCTGATATTAATATGCAAAAAAACAAGGCTTTTACGGTTACAGAAGTCAATAAATGATAGCGCCTGGGGAGTAGGAGTGATACTGGGGGCTACAGGGCCTGGGTTAACCTCTACATCACCAGAGGAACAGAGCAGGAGTAGAATAAGGATACGGCTAAAGGCTTTAAAAACTGGTATTCTAGTGCGTTGGGTACAGAGAATAAAAGGGGCAGATTTCCGGGCGTTGTAGAATAGATTCAGGGCATTATGTGCAGACAAGGATATGGAAGGATATGAGTACAGTGGAGGTACACCTAAGCATTGGGTAACTATGAAAGAGATAGCATCACTGGAGGTACCGATTGAGCCGGTCTCCGCGTGTATGGGGGGTGGGACAAAGGAGCTCTCTGAGGCTGGTTGAGCGGGACTGGGGGCTCTACAGTGAAATTGTATAATAAGAACTAACCGGAACAGCAATAGGCAAGACATATTGACATGGGAGAGAGGCATAAAGCAATCACAGGTGTTATTCGAGAGAGCTAAGACAACAACTGGTAATGGCAACGAAAGTTTGAGCTGAGGCTAAACAGATAAACAGGACAGATAAACAGGATGGGGGTACCGTGTAAAGGAACAGTCCAGCAGGCATCAGCTGTGCAGTGAACAGCAATAGGTGAGACCGGGAGCAGTTCGAATGGCTGCTACAGCACAGGCGAGCAGGAAGCACGGCTGTTGATTGCGTGTGCTAGCGGGCCGGGGCTAGCAGATGGATCTTCGTGGTCGTCGCAACGGGAAGCCTGTTGAAACCACATCAGATGATTACGTCGGCAGACCAGTCGTGATGGATTGGCGGGGCTCCGTGTCAACACTAGGAGGTTGACAGAGAGGTAGATAGCCGGGAGATAGGCCTGGCTCGAGTCTAGCTCAAGGCTAACTAGTGCTTGCTTCGGGTGCGGTGGTGATTAGCCAACAACATCCATTCTGTTCAGGCTAGCTAGTTGTGATGATCTGGTGTTAAGGTCCAGTGATTCAGTGATTCCGGCAGAAAATCCGATATGTTCTTGGTCGATAGCGCGCTGTGCAGACAGTGCAGACTGGCCGATAATAGTCCAGGCTAGAGCTGGCTGGTAGGTAGTGCAGGCCACGGACAATGGTAAAAACCGCTAACGGTGGCTAATAGCAAGTAGCTAGTTAGCTAGTTAGCTGGCTAGCTGGCTAGTTTCAACAGGAAGTTCTGGATAAAAAAGGTAAAATAAATAATATAATCCGTTCCACATTGGGTGAGGCGGGTTGCAGGAAAGTATATTTAGTTGAAGGATGAAAAGTGTGATTGAGAAATATATACGAAAGAGACAAAAAACAAAAAACAGGCTATTTACACGGACACACTACAGAGTACACGACCGCACTGCTACGCCATCTTGGATTCAGACGAGCTTATCACATTCTATGCTCGCTTTGAGGCTGACAATACAGAGCCATACAGGAAGACTCTCACTGCTGCCGCTTTCAAGGAGCGGGACTCTAACCCGGACGCTTATAAGAAATCCCGCTATGCCCTCCGACGAACCATCAAACAGGCAAAGAGTCAATACAGGACTAAGATTGAATCGTACTACACTGGCTCTGACGCTCGTCGGATGTGGCAGGTCTTGAAAACTATTACAGACTACAAAGGGAAGCACAGCCGCGAGCTGCCCAGTGACACAATACTTCCAGACGAGCTAAACCACTTCTATGCTCGCTTCGAGGCAAGCAACACTGAAGCATGCATGAGAGCACCAGCTGTTCCGGATGACTATGTGATCACGCTCTCCGTAGCCGATGTGAGTAAGACTTTTAAGCAGGTCAACATTCACAAGGCCGCAGGGCCAGACGGATTACCAGGACGTGTACTCCGAGCATGTGCTGACCAACTGGCAAGTGTCTTCACTGACATTTTCAACATGTCCCTGACTGAGTCTGTAATACCAACATGTTTCAAGCAGACCACCATAGTCCCCGTGCCCAAGGACTCTAAGATAACCTGCCTAAATGACTACCGACCCGTAGCACTGACGTCTGTAGCCATGAAGTGCTTTGAAAGGCTGGTCATGGCTCACATCAACAGCATTATCCCAGAAACCCTAGACCCACTCCAATTTGCACACCGCCCCAACAGATCCACAGATGATGCAATCTCTATTGCACTCCACACTGCCCTTTCCCACCTGGACAAGAGGAACACCTACGTGAGAATGCTATTCATTGACTACAGCTCAGCATTCAACAACATAGTGCCCTCAAAGCTCATCACTAAGCTAAGGATTCTGGGACTAAACACCTCCCTCTGCAACTGGATCCTGGACTTCTTGACAGGCCGCCCCCAAGTGGTAAGGGTAGGTAACAACACATCTGCCACACTGATCCTCAACACGGGGGCCCCTCAGGGGTGCGTGCTCAGTCCCCTCCTGTACTCCCTGTTCACCCATGACTGCATGGCCAGGCACGACTCCAACACCATCATTAAGTTTGCCGACGACACAACAGTGGTAGGCCTGATCACCGACAACGATGAGACAGCCTATAGGGAGGAGGTCAGAGACCTGGCCGTGTGGTGCCAGGACAACAACCTCTCCCTCAACGTGACCAAGACAAAGGAGATGATTGTGGACTACAGGAAAAAAAAGAGGACTGAGCACGCCCCCATTCTCATCGACGGGGCTGTAGTGGAACAGGTTGAGAGCTTCAAGTTCCTTGGTGTCCACATCACCAACGAACTATCATGGTCCAAACACACCAAGACAGTCGTGAAGAGGGCACGACAAAGCCTATTCCCCCTCAGGAGACTGAAAAGATTTGGCATGGGTCCTCAGATCCTCAAAAAATTCTACAGCTGCATCATCGAGAGCATCCTGACTGGTTGCATCACCGCCTGGTATGGCAACTGCTTGGCCTCCGACCGCAAGGCACTACAGAGGGTAGTGCATACGGCCCAGTACATTACTGGGGCCAAGCTTCCTGCCATCCAGGACCTCTATACCAGGCGGTGTCAGAGGAAAGCCCTCAAAATTGTCAAAGACTCCAGCCACCCTAGTCATAGACTGTTCTCTCTGCTACCGCACGGCAAGCGGTACCGGAGTGCCAAGTCTAGGTCCAAAAGACTTCTCAACAGCTTCTACCCCCAAGCCATAAGACTCCTGAACAGCTAATCATGGCTACCCGGACTATTTGCACTGCCCCCCCACCCCGTCCTTTTACGCTACTGCTACTCTGTTAATTATTTATGCATAGTCACTTTAACTCTGCCCACATGTACATATTACTTCAACTACCTCAACTAGCTGGTGCCCCCGCACATTGACTCTGCACCGATACCCCCCATGTATATAGCCTCCCTACAATTATTTTATTTTACTTCTGCTCTTTTTTTCTCAACACTTTTTTTGTTGTTGTTTTATTTTTACTTTTTTGTTAAATAAATGCATTGTTAAATAAATGCATTGTTGGTTAAGGGCTGTAAGTAAGCATTTCACTGTAATGTCTGCACCTGTT